CTCCCTCAACGTGATCAAGACAAAGGAGATGATTGTGGACTACAGGAAAAAGAAGAGGACCGAGCACGGGCCCCATTCTTATCGACGGGGCTTGTAGTGGAGCAGGTTGAGAGCTTCAAGTTCCCTTGGGTGTCCCACATCACCAACAAACTAACATGGTCCAAAGCACACCAAGACAGTCGTGTGAAGAGGGCACAAACAAAACCTATTCCCCCTCAGGAGACTGAAAGGATTTGGCATGGGTCCTCAGATTCTCAAAAGGTTCTACAGCTGCACCATCGAGAGCATCCTGACTGGTTGCATCACCGCCTGGTATGGCAACTGCTCTGCCTTCGACCGCAAGGCACTACAGAGGGTAGTGCGTACGGCCCAGTACATCACTGGGGCCAAGCTTCCTGCCATCCAGGACCCTCTATACCAGGCGGTGTCAGCGGGGAAGGCCCCTAAAAATTGTCAAAGACTCCAGCCACCCAAGTCATAGACTGTTCTCTCTGCTTCTGCACGGCAAGCAGTACCGGAGCGCCAAAGTCTAGGTCCCAAGAGGCTTCTACACTGCTTCTACCCCCAAAGCCACTCCTTGAACATCTAATCAATCAACCATCTAATCAAATGGCTTACCCAGACTATTTGCATTGACCCCCCCCTCCCCCTTCTTTTACGCTGATGCTACTCCTGGTTTATTATCATATGCATAGTCCACTTTAATAACTCCTAACCTACCATGTACATATTACCCTCAATTACCTCGGCACTAACTGGTGCCCCCCAGCACATTGAGCTCAGTGTACCGGTTTAACCACGTTCCTTGTATATAGCCTCGCTATTGTTAGTTTTAAGTTAAGCTTGCCTTCGTTAATTATTGTTCCAATTTATTTCCGTATTATTTTATATGGTATTTATGTGTGCTGTTTTTTCGGCGAGTAGTGTCTTAAAAACTGCATATGGTTGGTTACAGGCTTGTAAAGTGAAGCATTCAATTGAAAGGTCTACACCTGTTGGTATTCGGCTCCATGTGACAAAAATAAACATTGATATGGAAATTCCACAAATTAACTTAAACAAGGCACACCCCTGTAATTGAAATGCTTTCCATGGTGTGACTACCTACATGAAGCTGGTTGGTGAGCGATAGCCAAGATTGATGCAAAGCTGTCATCAAGGCACCAGGGTGTCTACTTTAAAGAATTTGTTTGTTAAAACCGTTTTTGGGTACTACATGATTCCATATGTTGATTTCATTAGTCAGTTTGATGTCTTCACTATGTAGTCTACAATGTAGGAGAGAAAATAGTAAAAATTAATAGAAGATAAGTGAAAAAATTAAAGGGAATTATGAGGTAGGTGTGGTAATAAAAACATTGCGGGACATGGGAGTTGTTGAGTTTGTCGATCTAAATGTGTGATTATCATCTAGGAAAGAAATCTGGGGAGAGGAAACGGATGCTCACTTATAACCTTTTAAAAAAGGATACATTCACTAATGAAATGGAGGGTGGACATGGTTGTATGTAGTAGTGTGTAGCATTTTCTAGGACATAAAGGGTGTGGAAGGGAAGTAAAGGTGTGCTGTCTATCATTGAAAGAGGTGTTAAGGCTTCATTGTGGTTGATAATGACCAGAGCGGGTTCAGTTAGTTCACTTGTTTATAAGGAACAGTAGGGTTTCAGTCTTCTCTGTGTTTATAATGACAGAGGTTCTTTTCAGTCTTCTCAGTGTTTATAATGAAATGAGGGTGTCAGTCTTTTGTCTAAGTTAGTGGTGTATTGTATGACACGAGGTTTTCGTCTTCTAAGTGTTGTATAAGGGACAGAGGGTTTCAGTTCTCACAGAGTAAATTAAATGAAGCTCGCTCCAATGGACCAAGAAATCAAACTAATGAGCCTGGGAAGTATTTCATATAGTATCACAAGGAAAGGATGACGCTGGCAGTGCAGGGGGAAAAAGAAAACGAGGTACCACGGGAGTTAGTATGTTGCCCACGTAGAAGATAATGACTTCGCCAGCGTCAGGACTAAGCGTAGGATACGCAGATATAGGTGCCCCCCCGCCTTCTCTTCCCGGTCCCGTACTCTCACCTAATTTCATCAATTGCGTCCCATATCGTGTTTTGTTATAACCACCTCCCACCGGTTTTGCGCTAGCTCCCTTATGTCTCTTTGTTCATTTTGTACCGCAAGCCAGGAGGGACTCAGAGTCCGTACGAGTGGTTAGTGAATAGAGAGTAGATGAGAGAGTATATAGCAGATAATAAGCAATCCGTTAGATCGGAGCGAAGAGAGGGTTGATAGAGAGCACCCTCGCTGGAGTGTGGAAGATGCTAGAGGGAGAGCGAGACGATGAGAGAGAGAGAGAGGTATGAGGAAAGAGTAGGAGAGAGGAGAGAGGAAGAGAGAGGCACCGCTAAACGTTAACGCTGACAGCAGCGTAAGTGAGTCAGAGACGAACTATAGAGAGGATGGAGAGGAAAAGAGAGAGCTGAGATAGGATCGACGAGGAGATCCTGTAAGCGGAGAAGGGAGCAGGATGAGAGGAAGGGGTAAGAGAGAGGTAGAGAGGAGAGAGAGAGAATATTCTCATGGACTCTATCTCTCTCTCTCTCTCTCTCTCTGTCTCGCTCTCTATCCCTCCCGCTAGAGAGGAAAGAGATTGAAGAGAGAGAGAGAGGAGAAAGAGAGAGGAGAGAAAGAGAGAGAGGGAGGGAGAGAGAGAGGAGAAAGGGAGAGAAAGGGAGCGAGAGAGAGAGAGAGGAGAGAGAGAGAGAGAGGAGAGAGAGCGCGCGAGAGAGAGAGAGAGCGAGAGCGAAGAGAGAGAGAGAGAAGCGGAGAGAGAAAGAGAGAGAGAGGAGTAGAGAGAGAGATGATAGCAGGAGCAGAGAGCGAGAGCGAGAGAGGAGAGAGAGATCGAGAGAGAGATCGAGGGAGAGCGAGATAGCAAGAGAGAGAGAGAGAGCGAGAGATAGAGGAGGAGAGAGAGCGGAGATAGAGGAGACGGAGCGTGAGATAGAGAGAAGAGAGAGAGAGACAGAGAGAGAGGTCGGGCGTCTATCTCGGTCTTCACTGTATCTTTTCACTGTCGAGCGAATTGGGAGCCTCACTGCGCTCGCACTTTCTCTTCTCTCTATTCGTCTATTCTCCTATCTCTCTCTCTCTCTCTCTCTATCTCTCTCTCTCTTTGCCTCTCTTTACCAACACAAGACAAACAACTGATTGTCTTCAGCTAGCTTTAGTTGCTGTTTCCTGTGGACGTTGACGAATCACATCGCAGTCTGTAATTTAGATGGTGTGATTATAGCCAGGCCTCCTGTAGACAATAATTACCTAGGTGTTTCTGCTGAATAATTATATGTTTATTCTACAAGGGTTTTGGGTTTGTTCATGCATTCTACATAAACACACACACACACACACACAGTATTACACAGTATTTTGCTGCAGTGCGGTGCGTGTGAAACTCTATACACTCAATCTACATCAGCATGCATTTCTAATGACTGTTTTGAGTTCATTTCTGTTATGCTACTGTGTGATAAACATGTCATAAAATATGCATATTGTGTAATCAGAGTTATTGATATGTTGTTAGGAAAGTTAGAAGGTGGATCGAAAATAGTGTAATGAAATGTCAAGAGCTGCCTTATCCATTTCATTCGGTATCATCATTGCGGACTATGATACATTATTCAGCGTGAACACGTCTTTGTTGTTGAGTATTAAAGAGTATCTCTCCTTCCTCAGGGCCTGCCAGGTACATCAGGAGAGAAGGGAGAGAACGGTGACGTCGGCCCAATGGTAAGTCAGCCATTTTGAAATAACACCACAGTACGGATGTAGATACAATGGTAAGTCAGCCATTTTGGAATAACACCACAGTACGGTTGTAGATACAATGGTAAGTCAGCCATTTTGGAATAACACCACAGTACGGTTGTAGATACAATGGTAAGTCAGCCATTTTGGAATAACACCACAGTACATATGTAGATACAATGGTAAGTCAGCCATTTTGGAATAACACCACAGTACAGATGTAGATACAATGGTAAGTCAGCCATTTTGGAATAACACCACAGTACATATGTCCAAGTAGATCCAAGCTACAATATTGGATCCAGCCTGTGTTTGTCTCACACATATCTCTGATGTCAGGGTCTTAATGTTTATTGTTTATTGTTTATGTTGACATGGTGTTATTGTTGATTGTTTGTTGTTTATGTTGACAGGGTCCACCTGGACCTCCCGGTCCCAGAGGTCCCCAGGGTTCTAGTGGAGCTGACGTAAGTGTCTGATTCTACTGAATATTATTTTTATGAACAGTTTAACATGTCATTAGACTAAAGTATATTATTATTATGAATAGTTTAACATGTCATTACACTAAAGTATATTATTATTATGAATAGTTTAACATGTCATTACGCTAAAGTATATTATTATTATGAATAGTTTAACATGTCATTACACTAAAGTATATTATTATTATGAATAGTTTAACATGTCTTTACACTACATGCTGCTCCATACCCTGTGTTATGATGACCTATTGAATGACTGACGTTTTGTGTGATTGGTTGATTGAATGATTGGTTTGTTATTTAGTTGGTTGGTGGATTAATTGGTTCGTTGTTTGTTTTATTGATTGATTTGTTGATTGCTTGGCTGATTGATTGCTTGGCTGATTGATTGCTTGATTGGTTGATTGATTGATTGACTGAAGGATTGATTGATTGCTTGGTTGGTTGATTGGTTGACTGAAGGATTGATTGATTAATGTGTTGATTGATTGCCTGATTATTGGTTGATTGATTGGTTGATTGGTTGATTGACTGAATGGTTGATTGATTGGCTGATTGGTTGATTGATTGATTGACTGAAGGGTTGATTGATTGGCTGATTGGTTGATTGATTGATTGACTGAAGGGTTGATTGATTGGCTGATTGGTTGATTGATTGACTGAAGGGTTGATTGATTGGCTGATTGGTTGTTTTGTATCCTATCGACAGGGTTCCCAAGGCCCTCCCGGTGGAGTGGGTTCTATGGGAGGCAATGGAGAAAAGGGAGAGAGCGGTGAAGCCGGCAACCCTGGACCATCTGGAGAGCCTGGAGGTGGAGTAAGTATCCTGTTTGATTCAAATACAGAACATCTACATGTTTCAGTCAATAAATTATAATAAGAACAGCTAAAACATTTCTTAGTGTAATGTATTTTCATTTATGTATAGCAGTGTGTGATTAGGTTACAAATCGGGGTGTTCATATTCCTTAATTGCAGCTCTAATTGAGCATTGTTTATCATTTGTGACAGTCCACAGTAGAGAGTCCTTCCTCTTACTGCGTCCCCCGCTGATGATTCACAGTTTAGTCCAAAGACAGGGCGTTCTCTTAACACATCATCATTATCACAGTCTCAGCTCTGAACTATTCATCACAACAACAGTGGGAAGTTAGGTTCCTTTTAGGAGAGGAGAGGGGTGGTATAACTGATCTGGGACCAGGCTATGTACAGTTTTCTTGGCTACCCAGACACCTTACTCCGGCCAAGCGCTAGGCCACGCCCACGGACGTTAGTACCTCCCCAACGATTTCTAGAACGCAAACACATTCTAGCCAGGCTGGTCCTTACTGTATTATATGTGCTGTGGCCAACTCTTCTAGCCAGGCTGGTCCTTACTGTATTATATGTGCTGTGGCCAACTCTTCTACCCAGGCTGGTCCTTACTGTATTCTATGTGCTGTGGCCAACTCTTCTACCCAGGCTGGTCCTTACTGTATTCTATGTGCTGTGGCCAACTCTTCTAGCCAGGCTGGTCCTTACTGTATTATATGTGCTGTGGCCAACTCTTCTACCCAAGCTGCTCCTTACTGTATTATATGTGCTGTGGCCAACTCTTCTAGCCAGGCTGGTCCTTACTGTATTCTATGTGCTGTGGCCAACTCTTCTAGCCAGGCTGGTCCTTACTGTATTATATGTGCTGTGGCCAACTCTTCTAGCCAGGCTGCTCCTTACTGTATTATATGTGCTGTGGCCAACTCTTCTACCCAAGCTGCTCCTTACTGTATTCTATGTGCTGTGGCCAACTCTTCTACCCAGGCTGGTACTTACTATACCAGGGTTTTCTGCATAGGAAATACTTGGCGCCGACTGCCTGAATGTCAACTCTTCGATCAAGCCTCTCTGAAAGAGGGGACATTAGGATCAATATCATAGATCACAGCTATGCTTCCATCCGACCCCAGCCCATTAAATTCATATCAAGAGCGTTGATCATTGATCGCTGTCTATGCTGTGGTTTGTGGCTGTATAGTCCTCTCAGGTTTAGTCAGTACACTACAGTACACTACAGTACACTGGTCACTGATAGGTTCATCTGGCTGCGTCCCAAACGGCACCCTATTTCCCTATCTAGTGCACTACCTTTGACCAGGACGTAGGGGATGCATTTGCCATTTGGGACGTAGACCCTCTCTCCTCCTCTACTCTGCGTCCATCAGGTCATATTGACATGGCTGGCTGCTCTTCTATCTGTTTACAGTGTCAGAACAAAACAGACAGGGACAGAGAGTGACAGGTAGGGGGGGAACAGGGAACAGGGACAGATAGTGACAGGTAGGGGGGGAACAGGGACAGATAGTGACAGGTAGGGGGGGGGGAACAGGGACAGATAGTGACAGGTAGGGGGGGGAACAGGGAACAGGGACAGAGAGTGACAGGTTAGGGGGGGGGAACAGGGACAGATAGTGACAGGTAGGGGGGGAACAGGGACAGATAGTGACAGGTAGGGGGGGGGGGAACAGGGACAGAGAGTGACAGGTAGGGGGGGAAACAGGGAACAGGGACAGATAGTGTGACCAGGTAGGGGGGGAACAGGGACAGATAGTGACAGGTAGGGGGGGGGGGAACAGGGACAGAGAGTGACAGGTAGGGGGGGGGAACAGGGACAGATAGTGACAGGTAGGGAGGGAACAGGGACAGAGAGTGACAGGTAGGGGGAGGAAACAGGGACAGATAGTGACAGTAGGGGGGGGAACAGGGACAGATAGTGACAGATAGGGGGGGGAAACAGGGACAGAGACTGACAGGTAGGGGGGGAACAGGGACAGATAGTGACAGGTAGGGGGGGGAACGGGGGAAAGGGACAGAGAGTGACAGGTAGGGGGGGAACAGGGACAGATAGTGACAGGTAGGGGGGGAACAGGGACAGAGAGTGACAGGTAGGGGGAACAGGGAACAGGGACAGAGAGTGACAGGTAGGGGGGAACAGGGACAGAGAGTGACAGGTAGGGGGGGGAACAGGGACAGAGAGTGACAGGTAGAGGGGGAACAGGGACAGAGAGTGACAGGTAGGGGGAGGACAGGGACAGAGAGTGACAGGTAGGGGGAGGGGAACAGGGGGGGACAGGGAAGAGAGAGTGACAGGTGGGGGGGGGGGAACAGGGACAGAGAGTGGACAGGTAGGGGGGGAACAGGGACAGAGAGGGGTGGGGAACAGGGACAGAAGGACAGGTAGAGGGGGGAACAGGGACAGAGAGTGACAGGTAGGGGGGGAACAGGGACAGAGAGTGACAGGTAGGGGAGGACGGGGGGGGGAACAGGGACAGAGAGTGACAGGTAGGGGGGGGGGGGGGAACAGGGACAGAGAGTGACAGGTAGGGGGGAACAGGGACAGATAGTGACAGGTAGGGGGGAACAGGGACAGAGAGTGACAGTAGTAGGGGGGGGGGGGAACAGGGACAGAGAGTGACAGGTAGGGGGGGAACAGGGACAGATAGTGACAGGTAGGGGGAACAGGGAACAGGGACAGAGAGTGACATGTAGGGGGGGAACAGGGACAGAGAGTGACAGGTAGGGGGGGGGGAACAGGGACAGAGAGTGACAGGTAGAGGGGGAACAGGGACAGAGAGTGACAGGTAGGGGGGGAACAGGGAGGGGGAGGGGGAACAGGGACAGAGAGTGACAGGTAGGGGGGGGGGAACAGGGACAGAGAGTGACAGGTAGGGGGGGGAGGGGGGGGGAACAGGGACAGAGAGTGACAGGTAGGGGGGGAACAGGGACAGATAGTGACAGGTAGGGGGGAACAGGGACAGAGAGTGACAGGTAGGGGGGGGGGGGAGAGAGGAGGACAGAGGGGACAGAGAGTGACAGGTAGGGGGGGGGGAACGGGACAGACTAGTGACAGGTAGGGGGGGGAACAGGGACAGAGAGGACAGAGTAGGGAAAGGAGGTGGGGGGGGGAACAGGGACAGATAGTGACAGGTAGGGGGGGGGAAGGGAGGAACAGGGAATATAGTGAAGGTAGGGGGGGAGGGGGGGAAGACAGGGACAGAGAGTGACAGGTAGGGGGGGAAACAGGGACAGAGAGTGACAGGTAGGGGGGAACAGGGAACAGGGACAGGTTGACAGGTAGGGGGGGGGGGGGGGGAACAGGGACAGAGAGTGACAGGTAGGGGGGGAACAGGGACAACTATGACAGTAGGGGGGAGGGGGAGGAGGGGAACAGGGGACAGAGAGTGACAGGTAGGGGGGGAAACAGGGAACAGGGACAGAGAATGACAGGTAGGGGGGGGAAGGGAAACGGGAACAGATAGTGACAGGTAGGGGGGGGGGAACAGGGAACAGGGACAGAGAGTGACAGGTAGGGGGGGGGGGGAACAGGGACAGAGAGTGACAGTAGGGGGGGAACAGGGGAAGATAGGTGACGGTAAGGGGGGGGGGGGGAGGGAAAGGGACAGGGACAGATAGTGACAGGTAGGGGGGGGGAGGGAACAGGACAGAGAGTGACAGGTAGGGGGGGAACCCGGGACAGAGAGTGACAGGTAGTGGCGGGAAGGGACAGATAGTGACAGGTAGGGGGGAGGAACAGGGACAGAGAGTGACAGGTAGGGGGGGGGGTAGGACGGGACAGGGACAGGATAGTGACAGGTAGGGGGGGGGGAACAGGGACAGAGAGTGACAGGTGGAGGGGGGGGGAACAGGGACAGAGAGTGACAGTAGGGGGGAACAGGGACCAGAGAAGTGACAGGCTAGGCGGGGGGACAGGGACAGAGCAGAGTGACAGGATAGGAGGGAACAGGGACAGATAGTGACAGGTAGGGGGGGAACAGGGACAGAGAGTGACAGGTAGGGTGAGGGGAACAGGGACAGATAGTGACAGGTAGGGGGGAACAGGGACGAGAGTTGACAGGTAGGGGGGAACAGGGACAGAGAGTGACAGGTAGGGGGGGAACAGGGACAGATAGTGACAGGTAGGGGGGGAAACAGGGACAGGAGTGACAGGTGGGGGGAGGGAAAGGGAACAGGGACAGAGAGTGACAGGTAGGGGGGGAACAGGGGACAGAAGTGAAAGGTAGGGGGGGAACAGGGAAGAGAGTGACAGGTAGGGGGGGAGGGGCGGGAACAGGGACAGAGAGTGACAGGTAGGGGGGAACAGGGACAGGAGTACAGGTAGGTGAGGGAAGAGGGACAGATAGGACAGGTAGGGGGGGGAACAGGGACAGAGAGTGACAGGTAGGGGGGGGGGGACAGGGACAGAGTGACAGGTAGGGGGGGGGGGAGGGAACAGGGACAGAGAGTGACAGGTAGGGGGGAACAGGGACAGAGAATGACATGTAGGGGGGGAAGGGAAAGGGACAGAGTAGTGACAGGTTAGGGGGGGAAACAGGGACGAGGTGACAGGTAGGGAGGGGGGAACAGGGACAGATAGTGACAGGTAAGGGGGAGGGAGGACAGGGACAGAGGTGAAGGTAGGGGGCGGGGAACAGGGACAGATAGTGACAGGTAGGGGGGGCGGGGGGGGGGAACAGGGACAGAGAGTGACAGGTAGGGGGGGAAGGGGAACAGGGACAGAGAGTGACAGGGTAGGGAGGGAACAGGGACAGATAGTGACAGTAGGGGGGAGGGAACAGGGACAGAGAGTGTGACAGGTAGGGGGGGGGAACAGGGACAGGACAGTGACAGGAGGGGGGAGGAGAACAGGGACGATAGTGAAGGTAGGGGGGGAAGGGGCCAGGGAACAGGACCGAGGTGACAGGTAGGGGAGGGAACGGGACAGAGTGACAGGTAGGGGGGAAGGGCAGTGGAAGGGAACAGGGACAGATAGTGACAGGTAGGGGGGGGAGGGAACAGGGACAGATAGTGACAGTAGAGGGAGGGAACAGGGAAGATAGTGAAGGTAGGGGGGGGGCGGCGAAGGACGTAGGGGGGGAAAGGAACAGGGACAGAGAGTGACAGGTTAGGGGGGGAACAGTGACAGATAGTGACGGTAGGGGGGAACAGGGACAGATAGTGACAGGTAGGAGGGGGGGGAACAGGGACAGTAGGCAGGTAGGGGGGAAAGGGAACAGGGACAGATAATGACGGGTTAAAAGGGAAGGGGGGTGTTTGGAAGGTGAACAGTACACGAGTATGTGACAGGCCTAGAGGAGAGACCGGAGATGGGAGGCAGGTGAACCCATGAGCTAGATGATAACAGTGACGGTCGGGACGGGAGAAGGAGAGACAGGAGAGGGACAGAGGAGAGAGAAGAGAGAGAGGGAAGGAACAGAAAAGGAGAGAGATGAGGATACGAGACGAGACGATTGGAGAGGGTGAGGGAGAGGAGAAGGAAGGGATAGCAAAAAGGAGAGAGACCACGGAGATGTGAGGTTGAGGCCCATGAGAGATGTCAGTGGACCATGCGAACTCAGGGCAGGGAACCGAACAGTATCAGTTTGGGACCATAACCGGCACAACTCATGTTAATGAATTCTGGGATTCCAGCCAGAGTATGTGAGTGGAGTTGAGCGGTAGGAAATCCCTCTCAACTCTCATGGAGTGGTGCTGGCATGCCACTCCAGCGTTCCACTTCCTTTCCAACCGCTCACAGGAACAAAAAACTGCCGTTCAAAATTCGCTCCGTTCATTAAAATCCTCATTTAACCAACACCCATTCTAATTTTGTGACTACCTGGACCTACCATTTGTTTTTTTTGAAGTATTGAAACCAAACCATATGGATTTGAATGAAAAGTATTTTAATAAACAACAGGTAAAGGTGACTGTAAGAAGGGCTCATCGTTTCAAATAGGCTACATGTCGTATTAAACAGCGTATTAACACTCTAAATAGGTCAGTAGCCAGACAGGTAGCCTAAGGAGGAACAAAAATGAATTATTTAGGCTATATTATTATTTTAATTATTTCAAGACTATAGCCTATAAAGAAATACATTGTGAAGCACTAGCGAGTGCAACACACTAGACTGCCAGGGGACATAAAGGGCTCAGCATTTAAACAACATTTAGTTGCATTAAATAATTATAGTCTCTAAATTGTGACTTAGAATTAAATAGAAATTAAACAAAAAAAATGCTTTATTAGGCAGGATATTCTTTGAATTCATTTGTAGAAACATGAGTTAGTCTGTGGCTTCAGGCAAACACCCCATTGGCCACTCTTACCAGGCTGTAGAGTTTATTTATATATTTATATATATATAGGTAGGTAGGTAGGTAGGCCTAAAGGTTTTTAGGCAAAATAACCCAATCACAACGGAAAGCTCCTTGAACGTGGTAATATGCCAGGCCTATTGGGCCAAAATCAATCATGGCCTATTGTATAGATAATAGAACGAAAATGAACTAAAGATCTGATTTTTAGTTTATAAATACATTCTACCTCATTTATACCTCCTTCCTTTCTGTTAACATGTGCACTTAGTAAGTTCACCATCATGCTTTCAGGATACGTGTCTTATCAGATTCCACAATGATTCTTTAGCTGTGGACACGACATCACCGCACTCCCTCTCTTGCTCTTGGTCCTGAATGTTTGGCATACTAGATGACGGTAGCTAAAACAAGGGGCTATAGCAGAACACAAGTAGACTGCAAATGCATGCTCGGGGCCGGGCCTTGAGCTGAGCTCAGAAGTGAGCGTACGGAGCTCAATAGAGGGGCGAGAAGGAGAAGTGGGGGAAACCCCCAAGCTCGCGGGGCCGCGCTTCGCGCCCACGCCGCCCGCAACGCGGCCCAAAAACGTAGGGACCGGGGCATAGGAAGAGAGGGGAGGGGCGCGAGGGGCGGCGAGAGAGCGAGCGAGGCGGCAAAGCGAGCGAGGAAAGCAGCGGAGGGAGAGAGGCGGAGAGGAGAGAGAGGGAGACAGAGCGAGGAGAGGAGAGCGAGAGCGCGGAGAGAGAGCGAGAGAGACCGAGCGAGGGGCGAAGAGAGGCGAGGAGGGCGAGGAGAGCGCGGGAGGCGAGCAGAGGGGAGCAGAGGGCGAGACGAGAGAGGGGAAGGGCAAAGGAGAGAGAGAGAGAGCGAGCGAGAGGGGAAGAGAGCGAGAGAGGCGAGAGAGAGAGCGAGAGAGAGAGAGAGAGAGAGGAGAAGAAAAGCAGAGAGAAAGAGAAGAGAGAGCGAGAGAGCGAAGGAGAGAGAGAGCGAGAGACGCGAGAGAGGCGAAGAGAGAGCGAGAAGAGGGGGGAGAGGAGAAGAGAGGAGAGAGAGAGAGAAAAGAAGAGCGAGAGAGAGAAGGCGAAGAGAGAGAGGCGAGATCGAGAGAGAGAGGAGAGGAGAGGAGAGGAGAGAGAGAGAGAGGAGAGAGAGAGAGACGAGAGAGAAGAGGGAGAGAGAGGAGAGAGAGAAAAGAGAGAGAGAGAGAGAAGAGAGAGAGAGAAGAGAAAGACGAGAGGAGAGAGGAGAGAGAGAGAAAGGGAGGCAGAGAGAGAGCGGAAGGAGAGAGGGGAATCGGCGAGGAGCGCGATGGGCATAGAGATTATCCGCTATATCGCTATCTATCTCTCTCATCTCTCTATCGCTCTCTCTCTCTCTCTCTCTCTATCTCTCTTCTCTCTCTCTCTCTCTCTCTCTCTCTCTCTCTCCCTCTCTCTGTCTGTAGGGACCCGTTGGCTTCCCTGGAGACCCAGGTCCCCCTGGAGAGCCTGGAGTTGGTGTAAGTACCACGAGGAGATGTAAAGTGAATGACGTGAAGCGTCACAGGAAGGAAGCTAGGCAGACATTCCTCTTAGGCAGTTTTAAGTTTAATTCATTGAAATGTAACAGTAGATTATGATCGATGCTAAGTAAAAGGAAGAGCTCTTACTGTTATATTAGTTCAGAAAGTGCTATCCTGACTTGTCTTTCTGTTGTATCTCCTCAGGGATTGGATGGCTTGGCTGGAGACAAGGGAGATGACGGAGACGCTGGTCAGCCAGTAAGTTTTTATTTATTTAACCAGGAAAATACCCTTGAGGCTGTAGGATTGTGATGTTGTTGTTAGTGAGAAGGAAATATATGAAGGGAGTAGCCTTGTACACAAATACACTATATATACAATAGTATGTGGACAGCCCCTTCAAATTAGTGGATTTGGCTATTTCAGCCACGCCCGTTGCTGACAGGTGTATAACATCGAGCACACAGCCATGCAATCTCCATAGACAAACATTGGCAGTAGAATGGCCCGTACTGAAAAGCTCAGTGACTTTCAACGTGGCACCGTCATAGGATGCCACCTTTCCAACAAGTCAGTTCGTCAAATTTCTGCCCTGCCAGAGCTGCCCCGGTCAACTGTAAGTGCTGTTATTGTGAAGTGGAAACGTCTAGGAGCAACAACAGCTCAGCCGCGAAGTGGTAGGCCACACAAGCTCAGAGAATGGGACCGCCGAGTGCTGAAGCACTCACTACCGAGTTCCAAACTGCCTCTGGAAGCAACGCCAGCGCAAGAACTGTTCGTCGGGAGCTTCATGAAATGGGTTTCCATGGCCGAGCAGCCGCACACAAGCCTAAGATCACCATGCGCAATGCCAAACGTCAGCTGGAGTGGTGTAAAGCTTGCCGCCATTGGACTCTGGAGCAGTGGAAACGCGCTGGAGTGATGTATCACACTTCATCATCTGGCAGTCCGATGGACGAATCTGGGTTTGGCGGATGCCAGGAGAACGCTACCTGCCCAAATGCATAGTGCCAACTGTAAAGTTTGGTGGAGGAGGAATAATGGTCTGGGGCTGTTTTTCATGGTTTGTTTGAGGTCCCTTAGTTCCAGTGAAGGGAAATCTTAACGCTACAGCATACAATGACATTCTAGACGATTCTGTGCTTCCAACTTTGTGGCAACAGTTTGGGGAAGGCCCTTTCCTGTTTCAGTATGACAATGCCCCCGTGCACAAAGCGAGGTCCATACATAAATGGTTTGTCGAGATCAGTGTGGAAGAATTTGACTGGCCTGAACAGAGCCCTGACCTTAACCCCATCCAACACCTTTGGGATGAATTGGAATGCCGACTGCGAGCCAGGCCTAATCACTCAATATCAGTGCCCGACCTCACTAATGCTCATGGCTGAATGGAAGCAAGTCCCCCGCAGCAATGTTTCAACATCTAGTGAAAAGCCTTCCCAGAAGAGTGGAGGCTTTTATACAGTTGAAGTCGGAAGTTTACATACACTTAGGTTGGAGTCATTAAAACTCGTTTTTCAACCACTCCACAAATTTCTTGTTAACAAACTATAGTTTTGGCAAGTCGGTTAGGACATCTACTTTGTGCATGACACAAGTAATTTTTCCAACAATTTTTAACGACAGATTATTTCACTTATAATTCACTGTATCACAATTCCAATGGGTCAGAAGTTTACATACACTAAGTAGACTGTGCTTTTAAACAGCATGGAAAAATCCAGAAAATGATGTCAAGGCTTTAGAAGCTTCTGATAGGCTAATTGACATCATTTGAGTCAATTGGAGGTGTACCTGTGGATGTATTTCAAGGCCTACCTTCAAACTCAGTGCCTCTTTGCTTAACATCATGGGAAAATCTAAAGAAATCAGCCAAGACCTCAGAAAAAACATTGTAGACCTCCACAAGTCTGGTTCATCCTTGGGAGCAATTTCCAAATGCCTGAAGGTACCACGTTCATCTGTACAAACAATAGTACGCAAGTATAAACACCATGGGACCACGCAGCCGTCATACCGCTCAGGAAGGAGACGCGTTCTGTCTCCTAGAGATGAACGTACTTTGGTGCGAAAAGTGCAAATCAATCCCAGAACAACAGCAAAGGACCTTGTGAAGATGCTGGAGGAAACAGGTACAAAAGTATTTATATCCACAGTAAAACGAGTCCTATATCGACATAACCTGAAATGCCTCTCAGCAAGGAAGAAGCCACTGCTCCAAAACCGCCATAAAAAAGACAGACTACGGTTTGCAACTGCACATGGGGACAAAGATCATACTTTTTGGAGAAATGTCCTCTGGTCTGATTGAACAAAAATAGAACTGTTTGGCCATAATGACCATGGTTATGTTTGGAGGAAAAATGGGGATGCTTGCAAGCCGAAGAACACCATCCCAACCGTGAAGCACGGGGGTGGCAGCATCATGCTGTGGGGGTGCTTTGCTGCAGGAGAGACTGGTGCACTTCACAAAATAGATGGCATCATGAGGAAGGAAAATTATGTGGATATATTGAAGCAACAGCTCAAGACATCAGACAGGAAGTTAAAGCTTGTTCGCAAATAGGTCTTCCAAATGGACAATGACCCCAAGCATACTTCCAAAGTTGTGGCAAAATGGCTTAAGGACAACAAAGTCAAGGTATTGGAGTGGCCATCACAAAGCCCTGACCTCAATCCTATAGAACATTTGTGGGCAGAACTGAAAAAGCGTATGCGAGCAAGGAGGCCTACAAACCTGACTCTGTTACACCAGCTCTGTCAGGAGGAATGGGCCAAAATTCACCCAACTTATTGTGGGAAGCTTGTGGAAGGCTACCCGAAACGTTTGACCCAAGTTAAACAATTTAAAGGCAATGCTACCAAATACTAATTGAGTGTATGTAAACTTCTGACCCACTGGGAATGTGATGAAAGAAATAAAAGCTGAAATAAATAATTCTCTCTACTATTATAGTTTGTTTGTCTACACTGCTGAATCTGTGTGATTTATGACTGCTCGACAAGCCGTTTTTGGCTGTTTTAAAATAATAAATAATAAATAATATGCCATTTAGCAGACGCTTTTATCCAAAGCGACTTACAGTCATGTGTGCATACATTTTTGTGTATGGGTGGTCCCGGGGATCGAACCCACTACCTTGGCGTTACAAGCGCTGTGCTCTACCAGCTGAGCTACAGAGGACCACCCATTTTACTGACTGTTACAAACTGTCTTTCTATTTGTGCAAAATAAACTAAACTACGTTGCAGTTATTAAACAAACAATCAATCATAATGTTAGTCAAAAATATCAAATTCCCAGTTCATGCTACAAATCCAGCTTCATAAGAGGTTTTAAAAATAGGCTATTATTTTACTCAGAATTTCAGGCTTTAAGTCAGGTTTAAGTAAGGCAGAATAGATGGACTCAATTCAATGCATGATTAATATAATTCACCAATACATTTATTGGTAGTCCAATAAATATTGCAATCAGGTTGTAAATCACAGCTGGCCTGGACATGCACTGTTTCAGTTTCAATTACTCAATATTTTGGAGAAAACGGACGAATGTAACCAAGGCTGGGAATGTCAATACAATCAAACTAGCAAGGGCAATGATCACAAGTCAGTCATAACGTGGCTAGTAGGCTAGCGTAACTATTTATATAGCTATTTATTTACCAAACTAAGAACATGGAGCCTAAGTTGTTGTTGATGTGCATAACTGAGGGAGAGAGAGCCTACCTTTTCATGGTTGTTTGATCAACAGGACTGTAAAGTTCCCAAATGTAAGAGGACTCCCGTGGTGTTTACATATTTGCAGAAATCCATTCAGGTGTATTTTGTGGCGAATGCTTTCTAATGATCTAATGTCGCGCTGTTGCTACTGCCTGTAAACACACCGTCCAGTTCAAAGTGAATGATGGGCAGGCCTGTGTGGCAAATAGCTTATTTGCATATAGGCCTACTGTAGCTCTGATTGGCTATGGCGCACCGGTCGGTGTAGAGTCCGGTCCTGGACGAGACAGATGTTTTTATTAGGGTTTTATTTACTGCAGTGTCTATTAATTGTCCAAACGCTCGGCTGCTTTCCCGCTCTATATTACTATAGAATTTTCACAAACGCCACACTATACGTCATTCCCAAACATTCTATAAATGTATGAAAACTGAAAATGACCATATCTAATCGCTCGCTTGTCAGAATTTTTTTTTTAAAGGCATCATATTCTTCCTGGGGGTGTATGTGAACAGATTCTAATAAGCTAAAACCCTGTCAGATCCACTTTAAAGGTATTGGAGGGTTGCATATAAATAATGTCAACATTGTCCAACACAGATCACAATTTCGCTGGCACAAGATCCTTCCTAACTGATATAGAATTCACTGTTGTTGTTGTTGTTGTTGTTGTTGAGGATGTTGATGATGAGGTTGTTGTTGTTGATGTTGATGATAAGGTTGTTGTTGTTGTTGAGGATGATGATGATGATGATGATGTTGTTGTTGTTGTTGTATTGTGGATCTAGTACCTAACTGGTCTGGGGTGTGTTGTTTCAGGGCCCATCTGGTCCTTCTGGAGAAGCTGGGCCACCAGGACCACCCGGGAAGAGGGTAAGTGTCTGCCAACAAAACTTTATTAGCCCACTAAGGTATTCGCTAGCGGAGCTAACACATGTTCCAGGTTTCAGGCAAGGTTACTCACCATTATCCAAAATTGTAGATGTTGCTGAATTGAAATACTAGGTACAATACACTACAATACTAATCTGATTTCCCTTGGTTGAGCAGCGACTCTCCACACAAGCCAATATTCAGAGATGGTTTTTTGTTTTTGATTCGTTTTATAATAGAATATCGACCTGTTTTCAGTTTGACTGACAGTGATGCGAAAGCAGTGGGATGAACACTCAAGTCCAGGATGTCAAGATGTCATTCTTACCTCTGGCACCTCCTGCCGATCGTGTCACACAACCCGGGCCTCGCTGTCGAGCGTGGAGATTAACTGCGTCCCAAATGTGCACAATCTTCCCTCTGGTGAAAAGTAGTGCACTTTATAAAGGGTTAGGGTACCGTTTGGGACGCAGCTATGTTTTCTTACCACTTGTACAACCTGGCCCAATTAAAGCCGTCACCTTTAATGGAGAAGCAGTAAAATGCTATAAACCGCTACACCAATACTGTCAAATAATAAAGAGTTGGCACTGCATGGTGACAAGAACAAGTGTCCGCGTCCCAAATAGAAACCTATTCCTTATGTAGTGCACTACTTTTGGTCAAGTGTAGTGCACTACATAGTGAACAGGGTACCGTTTGGGACGTGGCCCAAAACGTTTTCTTTTAAATGGAAGCTTCAATTCAGTTCAATTCGAAGTCAATTGGAACGTACTGGTGTTACTTTAACGTACTGGGGTTACTCACACTTTATGTTATTACACCATCAAATCAAAGATGTGTTTCTACATGGCTCAGCGTCAAGTGTGAGGGTTTTCCTTCACTTGTAAAATCTAATTTGTGTTGTGGAAAAATATGAGTTGAAAGCTACAGTCTTCATGGACTTTCCCCCTACACGACACATAATAGATGCTATACATATTCAACTCATTGTGTCAGCTACACCGGGGGACAGTATAGTCATAATATAATCATATAGATGTATTAATATTGTCATATAGATGTATTAATATAGTCATATAGATGTATTAATATAGTCATATAGATGTATTAATATAGTTATATAGATGTATTAATATAGTCATATGGATGTATTAATATTGTCATATGGATGTATTAATATAGTCATATAGATGTATTAATATAGTTATATGGATGTATTAATATTGTCATATGGATGTATTAATATAGTCATATAGATGTATTAATATAGTTATATGGATGTATTAATATTGTCATATGGATGTATTAATATAGTCATATAGATGTATTAATATAGTTATATGGATGTATTAATATAGTCATATAGATGTATTAATATAGTCATATACAGTGCATTCGGAAAGTATTCAGACCCTTGACTTTTTCCACATTTTGTTACATTCGAGCCTTATTCTAAAATTGATTAAATAGTTTTTTTCCATCATCAATCTACACACAATACCACATAGTGACGAAGCAAAAACTGGTTTTTAGAATTTTTATCAAATGTAGATTTAAAAAAAGAAGGAAATATCACATTTACATAAATATTCAGACTCTTTACTCAGTACTTTGTTGAAGCACCTTTGGCAGCGATTACAACCTTGAGTCTTCTTGGGTATGACGCTACAAGTTTGGCACACCTGTATTTGGGGAAATTCTCCCATTCTTCTATGCAGATCCTCTCATATATTCCAAGACATATCACGCTGATGACACAGCTTCTGGTGCTTAGTAAGCGATATTTCCAAGACATATCACGCTGATGACACAGCTTCTGGTGCTTAGTAAGCGATATTTCCAAGACATATCACGCCGATGACACAGCTTCTGGTGCTTAGTAAGCGATATTTCCAAGACATATCACGCTGATGACACAGCTTCTGGTGCTTAGTAAGCGATATTTCCAAGACATATCACGCTGATGACACAGCTTCTGGTGCTTAGTAAGCGATATTTCCAAGACATATCACGCTGATGACACAGCTTCTGGTGCTTAGTAAGCGATATTTCCAAGACATATCACACCGATGACACAAACTGCTGGGCAGATGAAAACATATGACCATTTACAATATTCAAATGAGCATTTCCCTATAGACATACATGTACAATTTCTGACTTACAGTAGGTGTGTAGGTCATTGATGCATGGCGATGCTTAGCTCAGTCAGTTGGGTTGTACTCTGTTAAAAGAAAGACGGATCGGTGTCCGTAACCCAGGGCCATCCAGGGCCATCCAGGTTATGGACAGTGATGCTAAAACAACAACCTGTTTGTAATGCTTTAGCCACAGGCGGTTATTCAGATCTTAATGCTATAGCCTCCTTTAGCTACACTACCAGTGTGAATATAATCTAATTTACTGGAGCCGATTGTCCCTATCTGACCTGCTCTAAGCTGGTTCTGCTTCTAGTCAAGGTCATCAGTCGTATATTGAGACATGACCATCAATAGTTATTACTCAACATATATATATATATATACAGTATATATTTTTACTTGAATAAGCACCGTTTTTTTCAACCCAAGTGTATATACTAAATAGATGTTGTAATATCTCTAGACTGTTTTAACCATCTGTGATTGTACACTGTCTACCAAGCTGGTGAGTGGTGCCTCTTACCCCTACAGGGACCCATTGGACCAGCCGGAACTGAGGGAAGACAAGGAGAGAAGGGTTCTAAGGTAAGAGGCAGAGACACACAGAGAGAGACACAGACACACACACACACACACACACACACACACACACACACACACACACATGTCCATTCAAACAGAAGTGTAGGATTAGAGTTGATGTGATGGAGACAGGCAAAGCCTCTCAGAACTTCCTGGTCTGTCAAAGCTGGCTTCTAATTGGTTGTCAGAACGGTTTAATCCAGAACGGTTTAATCCTCCAACGCCGTTGTCCGATCTGACGGTACATTTATGGATCTCCAATCCTTTGTGTCTGTTCTCATGGCCTGATGGAGGACATCAGGTGACTGAGTTGAGGCTTCTGTGTGATTGTTGTAATTCCCAAAAACCTCTGAAAGGTGCCTTATCTTTTGAGGGTGAATAGGACTTTTGAGGGTGAACAGTTTTTTTATTTTTTTATTAGGATCCCCATTAGCTGTTGCGAAAGCAGGAGCTGCTCTTCTTGGGGTCCACACAAAACATGAAACATGACATAATACAGAACATTAATAGACAAGAACAGCTCAAGGACAGAACTACATCAATTTAAAATGGCACACGTAGCCTACATATCAATACATACACACAAACTATCTAGGTCAAACAGGGGAGAGGCCTTGTGCCATGAGGTGTTGCTTTATCTGTTTTTTGAAACCAGGTTTGCTGTTTATTTGAGCAATATGAGATGGAAGGGAGTTCCATGCAATAATGGCTCTATATAATACTGTACGCTTTCTTGAATTTGTTCTGAATTTGGGGACTGTGAAGAGACCTCTGGTGGCATGTCTGGTGGGGTAAGTGTGTGTGTGTCAGAGCTGTGTGTAAGTTGACTATGCAAACAATTTGGGATTTTCAACACATGAATGTTTCTTATAAAAGAAGTGATGCAGTCAGTCTCTCCTCAACGCTTAGCCAAGAGAGACAGGCATGCATGGTATTGATATCAGCCCTCAACCGTTTTGAGCCAATTGTAGTAGTACAGTACAACTGTATTGAACTGTATTAAACAGTTTTCACCTTCACTTTTATAAGTCTAATTTATAGATCTCTCTCTCTCTCTCTCTTCTATGCCTATAATATGTATTCTGATTCAACATGTCAGCTAATCATCAAGTCCTTGATTAGATGAATCAGGTAGTCAGGCCTACAACAACACGGTGAAACGTCCCCGAGGAAGGAAGGTCATGCTGAACTGATTTGAATGTAGCTCAATGTTACTACTGTGTGACTCCATGATGAGGCTGAAGATATTGATACAGTGGTATTCAATGTTATGATTGTGTTTTGCAGGGTGAGGCTGAAGATATTGATACAGTGGTATTCAATGTTATGATTGTGTTTTGCAGGGTGAGGCTGAAGATATTGATTACAGTGGTATTCAATGTTATGATTGTGTTTTGCAGGGTGAGGCTGAAGATATTGATACAGTGGTATTCAATGTTATGATTGTGTTTTGCAGGGTGAGGCTGAAGATATTGATACAGTGGTATTCAATGTTATGATTGTGTTTTGCAGGGTGAGGCTGAAAATATTGATACAGTGGTATTCAATGTTATGATTGTGTTTTGCAGGGTGAGGCTGAAGATATTGATACAGTGGTATTCAATGTTATGATTGTGTTTTGCAGGGTGAGGCTGAAGATATTGATACAGTGGTATTGAATGTTATGATTGTGTTTTGCAGGGTGAGGCTGAAGATATTGATTACAGTGGTATTGAATGTTATGATTGTGTTTTGCAGGGTGAGGCTGAAGATATTGATTACAGTGGTATTCAATGTTATGATTGTGTTTTGCAGGGTGAGGCTGAAGATATTGATACAGTGGTATTCAATGTTATGATTGTGTTTTGCAGGGTGAGGCTGAAGATATTGATTACAGTGGTATTGAATGTTATGATTGTGTTTTGCAGGGTGAGGCTGAAGATATTGATTACAGTGGTATTCAATGTTATGATTGTGTTTTGCAGGGTGAGGCTGAAAATATTGATACAGTGGTATTCAATGTTATGATTGTGTTTTGCAGGGTGAGGCTGTAAATATTGATACAGTGGTATTCAATGTTATGATTGTGTTTTGCAGGGTGAGGCTGAAAATATTGATACAGTGGTATTCAATGTTATGATTGTGTTTTGCAGGGTGAGGCTGAAAATATTGATACAGTGGTATTCAATGTTATGATTGTGTTTTGCAGGGTGAGGCTGTAAATATTGTTACCGTGGTATTCAATGTTATGATTGTGTTTTGCAGGGTGAGGCTGAAAATATTGTTACCGTGGTATTCAATGTTATGATTGTGTATTGCAGGGTGAGGCTGAAAATATTGATACAGTGGTATTCAATGTTATGATTGTGTATTGCAGGGTGAGGCTGAAAATATTGATACAGTGGTATTCAATGTTATGATTGTGTATTGCAGGGTGAGGCTGAAAATATTGTTACCGTGGTATTCAATGTTATGATTGTGTTTTGCAGGGTGAGGCTGAAAATATTGATACAGTGGTATTCAATGTTATGATTGTGTTTTGCAGGGTGAGGCTGAAAATATTGATACCGTGGTATTCAATGTTATGATTGTGTTTTGCAGGGTGAGGCTGTAAATATTGATACAGTGGTATTGAATGTTATGATTGTGTTTTGCAGGGTGAGGCTGTAAATATTGATACAGTGGTATTGAATGTTATGATTGTGTTTTGCAGGGTGAGGCTGGAGCAGATGGGCCTGATGGTAAAACTGGACCTGTCGGACCCCAGGGGCCCTCTGGGAAGCCTGGACCTGACGGCCTGCGTGGAATCCCCGGCCCTGTTGTGAGTTAACTAGCTATACACAATCTGTTATGCATGATCTACACACTACAGTATCGCTGTCATGACTCCTCTGAAGCTAAGCAGGGACGGGAGACTCCCCTGGATGGGAGACCAGATGGAAGTGGTGTTGGAGGAACAGTAGGAGGCAGTCTTTCCTCTGGTCTAAGGAGATCCCAGTGCCCCAGGGCAGTGAGGGGGACATTGCCCTGTGTAGGGTGCAGTCTTTCAGATGGGATGTTAAACGGGTGTCCCGACTCTCTGTGGTCACTAAAGATCCCATGGAACTTATCGTAAGAGTAGGGGTGTTAACCCCGGTGTCCTGGCTAAATTCCCAATCTGGCCTTCATACCATCATGGCCACCTAATCATCCCCTGCTTCCAATTGGCTCATTCATCGCCCCCTCCTTTCCCCTGTAACTATTCCACAGGTCGTCGCTGTGAATGAGAATGTGTTCTCAGTCAACTTACCTGGTAAAATAAAGGTTAAATAAATCAATAAAATGAGTTACCTGGCTAGATTCAGGTCCTAACTAATCAGATGACAGATACAGTGTATGTTACATATATATGCTTATCATCACATTATCAAGATTAAAATGGTGTGATAATGGTAATAATAATGATAATGTGATGATAATGTGATGGATAATGTGAAGGATAATGTAATGGAGGATGTGATACATATTCTCAGGGTGAACAAGGACTTCCTGGTGCTTCTGGAATGGACGGACCTCCCGGACCAATGGTAATAACAACATGATAATTACATGATAATTACAAGGTTTTTGTATTTACGTGTATTTACATAGCCCCCCTTTTCCTCCAACTCAAAGCACCTTATACTGGGGTAACTCATCCTTAGATATACTGTTCCATCCACTGATTAGTCCGTCTGTGACAAACTGATTCCGGATGTTTCTCTCTTTTCAGGGTCCCCCTGGTCTTGCTGGTTTGAAAGGAACTTCTGGCGGTAAGGGAGAAAAGGTATGACTAGAACATTCTGATGCTGATGATGACGTTATAGAGAAAATAATGTTCCCTCCATCTCTCTTTCAAAGTTAACAAAGTTTGTACTTTACAGAGTCAACTCTCTATGTGATTTAATGTGGTGATTGAAATTGTACACGTGATTTAATCGAATGTGTGTAATGATCATAGGTTTATACCCCTGAGTGGCGCAGTGGTCTAAGGCACTGCATCGCAGTGCTAACTGTGCCACTAGAGATCCTGGTTCAAATCCAGGCTCTGTCGCAGCCGGCCGCGATCGGGAGACTCATGGGCGGCGCACAATTGGCCCAGGGTAGGGGAGGGAATGGCCGGCAGGGATGTAGCTCAGTTGATAGAGCATGGCGTTTGCAACGCCAGGGTTGTAGGTTCGATTCCCACGGGGGGCCAGTATAAAAAAAAATAATAATAATGTATTCACTAACTGTAAGTCGCTCTGGATAAGAGCGTCTGCTAAATGACTAAAATGTAAATGTAAATGTTTAGAGCTAGCATGCAGCAGGATAGTAGACCTAGCAATAGACTCTAGTTACAGTAGCAGGTGCCATAGACGCACTACCACTGTTAAATCTATTCTATAAACAGAATGGTCCTTTACCTTCGTAACTAAGACAGTATTTTGTTACCCGCAACACACAGAGACCACTAATAACGTGGCAGGTGGTTTCAACTCATTAGTTTAATCCACATAATGTTACTTGGCATAAGTTAACAACAGATTGTTATGAACAAAGATGTTGACGAAGTTACATGTGATTTGCGTGTGATTGATCACTGCTACAGCATTTCTCCTGCCTGTGGATGTCTGTTTACACTATTTCTGTGACAGTTAATCTGAAGCTATTTCTCTCTCTGTCGTGTACTGTGTGAATATCCCATCTAACACTGTCCACATCTCTCTCTCCTCCCCCTCTCTCCATCTCTCTCTCGCTTTCTCGCTCTCTCCTTCTCTCTCTTCCCCTCCACCTCTCTCTCTCCCTCCCCCTCTCTCCTTCTCTCCCTCCCCCTCTCTCTCTCCCTCCCCCTCTCTCTCTCTCCCTCCCCCTCTCTCTCTCCCTCCCCCCCTCTCTCTCCCTCCCCCTCTCTCTCCCTCCCCCTCTCTCTCTCCCTCCCCCTCTCTCTCTCTCCCTCCCCCTCTCTCTCTCTCCCTCCCCCTCTCTCTCTCCCTCCCCCTCTCCCTCTCCCTCCCCCTCTCTCTCCCTCCCCCTCTCTCTCTCCCTCCCCCCCTCTCTCTCTCTCCCTCCCCCTCTCTCTCTCCCTGTCCTCCAGGGTCACCCAGGTCTGATTGGTCTGATTGGACCGCCTGGTGAGTTCGGAGAGAAGGGAGACAGAGGTCTGCCTGGACCCCAGGGAACTGGTGGAGGCAAGGGAGATGCTGTAAGTGACTGACAAGTGTATTACTCATTGATTAACTATCTATAAACAAATGATTAATAGTCGATGAATGGCGCATTAATCTTTTATTAACTACACCTTTATGTAAAGTGTTTGCTCATTGGTTCATACTACTGTAAAGTGTTAGCTCATTGGTTCATACTACTGTAAAGTCTTAGCTCATTGGTTCATACTACTGTAAAGTCTTAGCTCATTGGTTCATACTACTGTAAAGTGTTGATTGTCTTCGTGTGAAGTGTCATCTCATTGGTTAATACTGCTGTGCTGTGTCTCTGCAGGGTGTTGGCGGTTCCGCTGGTCCTCTTGGCCCTCCTGGTCCCCCTGGTATTCCTGTAAGTTCCTTGTCAAAACATCGTAATTTTCTACCATTTCATCATGTTCCTAGTCTTACTGTTCACTGTTTGTCTCTCTTTTTCTTGCCCCTTAGGGAGCTGTAGGTTCTAAAGGTTCCAAGGGATCAACGGTAAGTTCTGTTCACCAGAAGACTAACTGAAAACACTAAGATCCCTCTGTGGTATATATATGACTGGTGTGATAACGTCCGTGTGTAATGTTGTGTCCTGTGTCTGTTGTTAGGGTGGAGCTGGCCAGAAGGGCGACACTGGTATGATCGGACCACCCGGACCTCCTGTAAGTCAACATTTCCTCTCTCAACAAGAGCTCAGATGCTTTCACGACTCTCCACTTTGATTGACCTTTCGCCTATTTCTGATTGGCCAATTTCACTGACCCCTGACCTCTGTGCTCTTCCATTTCAGGGTCCTCCTGGGGACATCATCCAGCCGCTGCCCATCCAGCAGGCGAGCAGGAAGAACAGACGGCAGGCGGAGGACGACGGCGTGCAGGGCGACGCGGAGGCCACAGCGGACATGGAGGACGTGTTCGGTTCCCTGAACAACCTGAAGCAGGACATCGAGAGGATGAAGTTCCCCATGGGGACGCAGGACAACCCTGCCAGGACCTGTAACGACCTGCACCTCAGCCAGCCTGACTTCCCTGACGGTGGGTTAGAGAGATAGGGTCCAGAGTTTTTTCCTAGTCTGGTCACATGGTAAAGAACAGGACTGGTCAGATGTCTGGAGGGCTGATGTACTGCTAGTTGATGTTCTACCTGGTAGTTCGTTCATTGGCTAGCATCTCTAATTGGCCAGCGACAGAGATTCCAGTCACATGGTGTTAAAAGTAGTGAATAGCCTTGGTATAGGATGTTTTACAACCACCTGCACCTCAGCCAGTCTGATATCCCTGGTGGTGGGTCATTAGAGAGATAGGGTCCAGAGTTTTTCCTGCACCTCAGCCAGTCTGATATCCCTGGTGGTGGGTCATTAGAGAGATAGGGTCCAGAGTTTTTCCTGCACCTCAGCCAGTCTGAATTTCCCTGGTGGTGGGCCTAGTCTGGTCCCAGATCTGTGTGTGCGATCAGGTTAGAGATCTAGTCTGGTCCGATCATGCCAACAACGTTTGGTGTGACAATACGTGATAAGGAGTTGGCAAGAGAACAGAACCAGACTGGTACCCAGGCTTTTAGAGAACAGAACCAGACTGGTACCCAGGCTATTAGAGAACAGAACCAGACTGGTACCCAGGCCTTTAGACAACAGAACCAGACTGGTACCCAGGCTATTAGAGAACAGAACCAGACTGGTACCCAGGCTTTTAGACAACAGAACCAGACTGGTACCCAGGCTTTTAGAGAACAGAACCAGACTGGTACCCAGGCTTTTAGAGAACAGAACCAGACTGGTACCCAGGCTATTAGAGAACAGAACCAGACTGGTACCCAGGCTTTTAGAGAACAGAACCAGACTGGTACCCAGGCTATTAGACAACAGAACCAGACTGGTACCCAGGCCTTTAGAGAACAGAACCAGACTGGTACCCAGGCTATTAGAGAACAGAACCAGACTGGTACCCAGGCTATTAGACAACAGAACCAGACTGGTACCCAGGCCTTTAGACAACAGAACCAGGCTGGTACCCAGGCTATTAGAGAACAGAACCAGACTGGTACCCAGGCTTTTAGAGAACAGAACCAGACTGGTACCCAGGCTATTAGACAACAGAACCAGACTGGTACCCAGGCCTTTAGAGAACAGAACCAGACTGGTACCCAGGCTATTAGAGAACAGAACCAGACTGGTACCCAGGCTATTAGAGAACAGAACCAGACTGGTACCCAGGCCTTTAGACAACAGAACCAGGCTGGTACCCAGGCTATTAGAGAACAGAACCAGACTGGTACCCAGGCCTTTAGACAACAGAACCAGACTGGTACCCAGGCTATTAGAGAACAGAACCAGACTGGTACCCAGGCCTTTAGACAACAGAACCAGACTGGTACCCAGGCTATTAGAGAACAGAACCAGACTGGTACCCAGGCTATTAGACAACAGAACCAGACTGGTACCCAGGCTATTAGACAACAGAACCAGACTGGTACCCAGGCTATTAGACAACAGAACCAGACTGGTACCCAGGCCTTTAGACAACAGAACCAGGCTGGTACCCAGGCTATTAGAGAACAGAACCAGACTGGTACCCAGGCTTTTAGACAACAGAACCAGACTGGTACCCAGGCTATTAGACAACAGAACCAGACTGGTACCCAGGCTTTTAGAGAACAGAACCAGACTGGTACCCAGGCCTTTAGACAACAGAACCAGACTGGTACCCAGGCTTTTAGACAACAGAACCAGACTGGTACCCAGGCTATTAGAGAACAGAACCAGACTGGTACCCAGGCCTTTAGACAACAGAACCAGACTGGTACCCAGGCTTTTAGACAACAGAACCAGACTGGTACCCAGGCTATTAGAGAACAGAACCAGACTGGTACCCAGGCCTTTAGACAACAGAACCAGACTGGTACCCAGGCTAACCAGGCTATTAGAGAACAGAACCAGACTGGTACCCAGGCTATTAGAGAACAGAACCAGACTGGTACCCAGGCTATTAGAGAACAGAACCAGACTGGTACCCAGGCTATTAGAGAACAGAACCAGACTGGTACCCAGGCTATTAGACAACAGAACCAGACTGGTACCCAGGCTTTTAGACAACAGAACCAGACTGGTACCCAGGCTATTAGAGAACAGAACCAGACTGGTACCCAGGCTTTTAGACAACAGAACCAGACTGGTACCCAGGCCTTTAGAGAACAGAACCAGACTGGTACCCAGGCTATTAGACAACAGAACCAGACTGGTACCCAGGCTATTAGACAACAGAACCAGACTGGTACCCAGGCTATTAGACAACAGAACCAGACTGGTACCCAGGCTATTAGACAACAGAACCAGACTGGTACCCAGGCTTTTAGACAACAGAACCAGACTGGTACCCAGGCTATTAGAGAACAGAACCAGACTGGTACCCAGGCCTTTAGACAACAGAACCAGACTGGTACCCAGGCTATTAGAGAACAGAACCAGACTGGTACCCAGGCCTTTAGACAACAGAACCAGACTGGTACCCAGGCTTTTAGAGAACAGAACCAGACTGGTACCCAGGCTATTAGAGAACAGAACCAGACTGGTACCCAGGCTATTAGAGAACAGAACCAGGTAGAAGGACTACCAGTTCCTGACTCTGTGTATACTTCCATATTAACTCTTCATTTACAAATGTGATATTTAATATATTTACTTGGCAAAGGTTTATGTGACTGAAAAGTAAAGTAAAAAAAGTAAAGAGCAGTGCTTTTCTCAATCTGAGTCTCTCTCAATCTGAGTCTCTCTCAATCTGAGTCTCTCTCAATCTGAGTCTCTCTCAATCTGAGCGTCTCTCTCAATCTGAGCGTCTCTCTCAATCTGAGCGTCTCTCTCAATCTGAGCGTCTCTCTCAATCTGAGCGTCTCTCTCAATCTAAGCGTCTCTCTTAATCTGAGTCTCTCTCAATCTGAGTCTCTCTCAATCTGAGTCTCTCTCAATCTGAGTCTCTCAATCTGAGTCTCTCTCAATCTGAGTCTCTCTCAATCTGAGTCTCTCTCAATCTGAGTCTCTCTCAATCTGAGCATATCATTCAATCTGAGCATCTCATTCAATCTGAGTGATTCCCGATATACAGTAATATGAGGCATTATGCATTAACCTTGCCACATGGCCCCAGTACATCATGTTAATGGCTGTGTGTGTTGTGATGTTCAGGTGAATACTGGATCGATCCTAACCAGGGCTGTACTGGAGACTCCTTCAAGGTCTACTGTAACTTCACAGCTGGAGGAGAGACCTGTATCTACCCCGACAAGAAGTCCGCCGGTGTACGTTACTGGGAAATAACGTATACAATGCCTATAGATACAAGAACAAGTTGCAGTAAATTTGAACCTGAATTTTCACTGCATTTTCATACTCACTGTTAGACCTATTCTGTATATATATTTTATTCAGAGACATTAACAGTTAGCATGTTGTTTTATTTCTATGTATTCTGTGTAACAGGTCAGAATATCTAACTGGCCCAAGGAGGCTCCAGGATCATGGTTCAGTGAATTTAAACGGGGAAAATAGTAAGTATAGGAAATATCCAACTCTCAAAGCAGTTATAGATTTCTGAAATTCAAAATCACTTTCAATGACAACTGTCACCATTTCTCCAACTCTCCTCCCTCCCATCCTCCCTCCCCTCTACCTCACCCTCTCCCCCTCCCCTCTTCCTCACCTCTCCCCCTCCCCTCTACCTCACCCTCTCCCCCTCCCCTCTTCCTCACCCTCTCCCCCTCCCCTCTTCCTCACCCTCTGTCCCATCCCCTCTACCTCACCCTCTCCCCCTCCCCTCTATCCTCACCCTCTCCCCTTCCCCTCTACCTCAACGCCCCCTCTCCCCCCTCCCCTCTACCTCCCCCTCTCCCTCCCCCTCTCCCCCCTCCCCCCTTACCTCACCCTCTCCCCCTTCCCTACCTCACCCTCTCCCCCTCCCTCACCTCCCCCTCTCCCCCTCCCCTCTACCTCCCCCTCTCCCCCTCCCCTCTACCTCACCCTCTGCCCCCCCTCCCCTCTACCTCACCCGCATCGCCCCTCCCCTCTACCTCACCTCACCCCTCCCCCTCCTCCTCACCCTCTCCCCCTCCCCTCTACCTCCCCCTCTCCCCCTCCCCCTCCCCTCTACCTCCCCCCTTTCCCCTCCCCTCTACCTCCCCCTTTCCCTCCTCCCCTCTACCTCACCATCTCCCCCTCCCCTCTACCTCACCCTCTCCCCCTCCCCTCTACCTCACCCTCTCCCCCAGTTGAACTACGTGGACATGGAGGAGAACACCATCCAGACGGTCCAGATGACCTTCCTGAAGCTGCTCAGCTCAACGGCCCGTCAGAACTTCACCTACATCTGCCACCAGTCCGTAGCCTGGTACGATGCCAAGGCAGACGGCTACGACAAGGCTCTACGCTTCCTGGGTTACAACGACGAGGAGATGTCCTATGATAATAACCCCTTCATCAAGGCACTGTCGGACGGATGCTCAGTAAGGACACAGTATAGATTGTATACAGAATTTAGGTTATATTATAAACAGTATGTAGGTTATATTATGTACAGGTTAAATGATATACAAGTTATATTATATACAGGTTATATTATATACAGTATTGAGGTTATATTATATACAGGTTATATTATATACAGTATGCAGGTTATATTATATGCAGGTTAAATTATATACAGTATTGAGGTTATATTATATACAGGTTATATTATATACAGTATTGAGGTTATATTATATACAGGTTATATTATATACAGTATGTAGGTTAAATTATATACAGGTTATATTATATGCAGGTTATATTATATACAGTATTGAGGTTATATTATTTACAGGTTATATTATATACAGTATTGAGGTTATATTATATACAGGTTATATTATATACAGTATGTAGGTTAAATTATATACAGGTTATATTATATACAGTATTGAGGTTATATTATTTACAGGTTATATTATATACAGTATTGAGGTTATATTATATACAGGTTATATTATATACAGTATGCAGGTTATATTATATACAGTATGTAAGTTATATTATATACAGGTTATATTATATACAGGTTATATTATATACAGTATTGAGGTTATATTATATACCGGTTATATTATATACAGTATGTAGGTGAAATTATATACCGGTTATATTATATACACTACGATAATAACCCATTCATCCAGGCTCTGCTATTGATTGAGTCGGCCGCAACCGGGAGACCAATTGGGCGGCGCACAATTGGCCCAGCGTCGTCCAGGGTAGGGGAGGGAATGGCCGGCAGGGAGGTAGCTCAGTTGGTAGAGCATGGCGTTTGCAACGCCAGGGTTGTGGGTTCGATTCCCACGGGGGGCCAGTATGAAAATAAAAAAAGTAATGTATGCACTAACTGTAAGTCGCTCTGGATAAGAGCGTCTGCTAAATGATGTAAAATGTAAAAAATGGTTCCATTGGAAATTCCATTGGTTTCATTAGAGATTTCATTGGTTCCATTAGAGATTCCATTGGTTTCATTAGAGATTTCATTGGTTCCATTTGAGAGTCTATTGGTTCCATTGGAGATTCCACTGGTTCCATTGTACTGGGTAGATGGTGACATTGTTGCATTGTTACTAAATGGTCTACCAAACAGTAGTTACTGGTAGATATTGATTGATCCTGGTAACTGGTAGATATTGATTGATCCTGGTAAATAGTAGATATTTATTGATCCTGTTAACTGGTAGTTCTTTATCAGATCTTGATCACCACAGTAACTCTCTCCCTCTCCCTTCCCTTCCCCTCTCCCCCCTCCTCCGTCTTCCCTTCCACTCTCCCCCCTCCTCCGTCTTCCCTTCCACTCTCCCCCCTCCTCCGTCTTCCCTTCCCCTCTCCCCCCTCCCCCATCTTTCCTTCCCTCTCCCCCTCCTCCATCTCCCTTCCACTCTCCCCTCCTCCTCTTCCCTTCCCCTCTCCCCCCTCCCTCCTCTTCCCTTCCCCTCTCCCCCCTCCCTCCCTTCCCTCTCCCCCTCCCCCTCCTCCTCCCTCTCCCCCTCCTCCCCCCCTTCTTCCCTTCCCCTCTCCCCCTCCCCCATCTTCCCTTCCCCCTCTCCCCCCCTCCTCCCATCTTCCCTTCCCTCCTCCCCCCTCCCCCATCTTCCCTTCCCCTTTCCCCCCCTCCTCCTCTTCCCTTCCCCTCTCCCCCCCCCTCCCTCTTCCCTTCCCCTCTCCCCCCTCCTCCATCTTCCCTTCCCCTCTCCCCCCTCCTCCATCTTCCCTTCCCCTCTCCCCCCTCCCCCATCTTCCTTCCCTCTCCCCCCTCCCCCCTCTTCCCTTCCCCTCTCCTCCCCCCCTCCTCCCTCTTCCCTTCCCCTCTCCCCCCTCCTCGCCCCTCTTCCCTTCCCCCCTCTACCCCACTCCTCCGTCTTCCCTTCCACTCTCCCCCTCCGCCGATCTTCCATCCACTCCTCCCCCCTCCCTCTCCTCCCCCCCCTCCCCATCTTTTCCCTTCCACTCTCCCCCCTCCTCCGTCTTCCCTCCCCTCCTCCCCCCTCCCCCATTCTTCCCTGCCCCTCTCCCCCCCCGCCGTCCTTCCCGTCCACTATCCCCCCCCCTCGCCCCTTCCCTTCTATCTATCCCCTCCAGCTGGAAGTCCGGGCTACTCCAAGACGGTGATGGAGATCAACACTCCTCGTATCGACCAGGTGCCCATCATCGACGTCATGTTCAATGACTTTGGCGAACCCAACCAGCGGTTCGGTTTCGAGGTGGGCCCTGTCTGCTTCATGGGCTAGGACCCGACCAGACCACCCCTGCCCCCGCCACCCCCCCACCCACCCCCCCCGACCAGCTGAAGGACAGGGTTAGAGTGCGTTCTGTTCCTTGTACTGCCGACTGACCCCCCTATTCTCCACTCACCCTGGCCTTGCCCTGCCCTAGCCTCAGGCTCTAAACCAAACCTGTGTTTTATATCATTGATAAGATGATAAAACCACCAGTATCAGACCACCAGCACGCTGCCCTACCCCCCCCAAGAGAACAATGTGCCCCCCTCCTCTGCCCTACCCCCCCCCCTATAGAACAACGTGCCCCCCTCCTCTGCCCTAACCCCCCCTAGAGAACAACGTGCCCCCCTCCTCTGCCCTACCCCCCTAGAGAACAACGTGCCCCCCTCCTCTGCCCCCCCCCCCCCCCCTAGAGAACAACGTGCCCCCCTCCTCTGCCCTACCCCCCCCCCTAGAGAACAACGTGCCCCCCTCCTCTGCCCTACCCCCCCCCTAGAGAACAACGTGCCCCCCTCCTCTGCCCCCCCCCCCCCTATAGAACAATGTGCCCCCCTCCTCTGCCCTTCCCCCCTAGAGAACAACGTGCCCCCCTCCTCTGCCCCCCCCCCCCCCCTAGAGAACAACGTGCCCCCCTCCTCTGCCCTACCCCCCCTAGAGAACAACGTGCCCCCCTCCTCTGCCCCCCCCCCCCCCCTAGAGAACAACGTGCCCCCCTCCTCTGCCCTACCCCCCCTAGAGAACAACATGCCCCCCTCCTCTGCCCTACCCCCCCCCCTATAGAACAACGTGCCCCCCCCCCCCCTATAGAACAACGTGCCCCCCTCCTCTGCCCTACCCCCCCCCTAGAGAACAACGTGCCCCCCTCCTCTGCCCTACCCCCCCCCTATAGAACAACGTGCCCCCCTCCTCTGCCCTACCCCCCCCTAGAGAACAACGTGCCCCCCTCCTCTGCCCTACCCCCCCCCCCTATAGAACAACGTGCCCCCCCCCCCCCCCCCTATAGAACAACGTGCCCCCCTCCTCTGCCCTACCCCCCCTAGAGAACAATGTGCCCCCCTCCTCTGCCCCCCCCCCCCCCCCCTAGAGAACAACGTGCCCCCCTCCTCTGCCCTGTCATAGAAGCATTGTCCCAGGGGAATACTCCTCGCCCTTGTAGGGCCAATCACGTAATGACTTTAACTTGTAACGGGAGGGAGTGACATGAGGAATAAAGGACGTTTGATGCCGTGGACGGACAGTGGCGCACTTTCAGCAAACAGAGGGAGGACCCACTCACCCCAACCCCCAAGACCCCCTTCCCCCCTCACCCAACCAAGAGGGAGGATCCACTCACCCCAACGCCCAAGACCCCCTTTCCTCTCCTCGTCTTCCCCCTTCTCGTCCCTTACCCCATGACCCTATCTAGAGAGATGTCCCACTCACCCCCCCCAAGCCCCCTTCCTCCCTTCTACTCCCCACTTCCTACCCCGTCTCCCCCAGCCCATCCTCCCTGTCTGGTAGCACCAGCCCCCTCGTCCCTCCCCCAGTCCATCCTCCCTGTCTGTTAGCACCAGCCCCCTCGTCCCTCCCCCAGCCCAGCCTCCCTGTCTGGTAGCACCAGCCCCCTCGTCCCTCCCCCAGCCCATCCTCCCTGTCTGTTAGCACCAGCCCCCTCGTCCCTCCCCCAGCCCAGCCTCCCTGTCTGGTAGCACCAGCCCCCTCGTCCCTCCCCCAGCCCATCCTCCCTGTCTGTTAGCACCAGCCCCCTCGTCCCTCCCCCAGCCCATCCTCCCTGTCTGGTAGCACCAGCCCCCTCGTCCCTCCCCCAGCCCATCCTCCCTGTCTGTTAGCACCAGCCCCCTCGTCCCTCCCCCAGCCCAGCCTCCCTGTCTGTTAGCACCAGTGCTGCTCAAGATACAACCACAGAGGTGCTATTGTGCGGAACACAGAACACCAAAGGTGCTATAAAAAAAGTGCATTTTTATAAACTGTAATTATTATTATTATTTTGTACAATACTGTTCTCTTACTGAATCCACTCTTCAAAAAACCAAAACGTGCATGTGTACCAAGACTCTTAATAAAAATGTTTTAATAATGTTTTAATAAATACATGTTAGTAATACTACATAGAAAATACGTTTGCAATAAATATATTTGTCTGTTTTAAATGTCTGTTGAGAAACGAATTGGTAAGTAAGCAAGTAGTCATATGTTGTTGTTTTTGGAATACAGTGTTAATATCAGCAGTTGAATTCAAATCTTCTCTGTTTGTAATTATGAAGAATCTCTTTTGTAAATATTGACCATTATAAAGCACTTAAAGCATATACTATACTATACTGTACTATACTATACTATACTATACTATACTATACTATACTATACTATACTATACTATACTATACTATACTATACTATACAGTAAGGGTTATACACATAGTAGGGCTATATATGGTTACCAAGGGTTACTAAACCAAACTGGACTACAACAACAACCAAATCAAAGTGAGCTCTCTAAACAGGACTTGTTGTTGTTTCAAACTATTACATCTTGTTTTTGTTTTCTTATTTCTGCCCACTAAAATCAAGAAGTTAAGATTGCAGAGTAAATAAAAAAAATGAGTGATGTGAAAATGTCCACAATGCCAATAGGTGTCATCCTCTCAACCAAAGCTTCTACTGCCAGATAGATATGACCCCACAGAATGGTATACCTCAGTCGCTCTACGTACATGAAGTTGAGATGCTATAGGATGGATGACAAACCCTATATATATATACATATATATACCTTGATTTATACAATTAAGTTTATATATTTGGGTGGGGAAAATAAAAAATACTTATTTGTGTAGCTTCTTCATGTCCAATTCATAACAGTTTGTGAACGATGCCAAATAAAGGAGCCCTTTATAGTTAAACCGTTTTTCTGTAACAGTAATAAAGGAGCCCTTTATAGTTAAACCGTTTTCCTGTAACAGTAATGAGGAAATGTTTTCATGTGCTTTTGATGGTTGATTCATATTAAAACTGGATTCTGAACAATGTGTTGATTTGACCGTCTGTATACTTCACTATCTCTAGAGGGATTATAATTCCTTCCCATGTTTCCATGGGGCTTTATTATTACAGATTATTCGTCCCTTTCATCAAAGGATTCAATAATCCTAATCTTAAACATTGTCAGATTGGGCTAATCTGTGGTGTGATATGTTTGAGTTGCGTTGCTTCTGTTTCTACCCACAATGCCGAGCTACACCCCCAACTGGTCCTGTCCCTCCAAGCGCCTCTCTCTCTCGTACTCTGACCCAGACTTTGACTTTGATCATGATGTTTACATCTCTCTCTCCTTCCTTCAGTCACCAAATGACAGCAGTAAATGGTTTAACGAGAGAGAAAACGCTAAAACCTTTCAAACCTGTGTAATTATGTTTACAGCTTTATTGTAAAAATATAAAATAAATGTTTTGGTAACTTGCCAAATGCACATTCAAATGGTTTGCATTCACTTGAAGACATCTCATAAATGAAATCATTTTATTGAACTGTAACTGTGAGTATTTATTGAAGTGATACAACCCTCTTTGAGTTTGGTGCAACAGCCATGGTGGACATGATGAAACAGCATGATAGGTAATCACATGATGTTTCCCTAGGCCTAGGGCATCTCTGTAAACACTGTACAGCTTTATTCCAGATGGCCACAGTGTGATGGCAGTTCTGTTAGCTTCTCAACGTTAACTTTAGTACAAAGTCTTCCTCACCCTGACAGAACAGGACAGCAAAGTGTTGACAGGTCTCCAATCTTCCACTGCTCCCTAAAATCCAGCATAAAGAAAATACATTTTCTTCCCACATAATTACTCATGCTTCTGTGTGGGTCTACAGGCTCATAGCAAACACACACACACACACACACACACTGACACACACAGACGTGCACACACACACTCACACACACACACGCACAAACAAACGTTGGACTATGTTAGTAATGAGATGATGAATCACTAGAAATTGAGCTCCAGAGAGAGAGAGTCATGCCGGAAGTAAGAATACACTGTGTTCTCCACAGTCATCAACAATCAGGATGTATACGTGTTATAACTTAGTTCTCTTGTTTTCAACCCTGTTTGTTATATGTTGTGTTATATGTCATGTTATATGTCATGTTATATGTTATGTTATATGTCATGTTATATGTTATGTTATATGTTATGTTATATGTTATGTTATGTTATATGTCATGTTATATGTTATGTTATATGTCATGTTATATGTTATGTTATATGTCATATTATATGTAATGTTATATGTCGTGTTATATGTCATGTTATATATCATATTATATGTTTTGTTATATGTCATGTTATATGTCGTGTTATATGTCGTGTTATATGTCATGTTATATGTCATGTTATATGTTATGTTATATGTTATGTTATATGTCATATTATATCTCATGTTATATGTTATGTTATATGTCATGGTATATGTTATGTTATATGTCATATTATATGTAATGTTATATGTCGTGTTATATGTCATGTTATATATCATATTATATGTTTTGTTATATGTCATGTTATATGTCGTGTTATATGTCGTGTTATATGTCGTGTTATATGTTGTGTTATATGTCACGTTATATGTCATGTTATATGTCATGTTATATGTCGTGTTATATGTCATGTTATATGTCATGTTATATGTCATGTTATATGTCGTGTTATATGTCGTGTTATATGTCGTGTTATATGTCATATTATATGTCATGTTATATGTTGTGGTATATGTTATGTTATATGTTGTGTTAATTGTTGTTATATGTCACGTTATATGTTGTATTATACAGTACGAGTCAAAAGTTTGGACACCCCTACTCATTCCAGGGTTTTTCTTTATTTTTACTATTTTCTACATTGTAGAATAATAGTGAAGACATCAAAACTATGAAATAGCACATATGGAATCATGTAGTAAACAAAAAAAAAGTGTTAAACAAATCAAAATATTATTTTATATTTGAGATTCTTCAAATAGCCATCCTTTGCCTTGATGACAGCTTTGCACACTCTTGGCATTCTCTCAGCCAGCTTCACCTGGAATGCTTTTCCACACCTCCTCCTCCATGCTTGGTCCTCTGTAGCTCAGCTGGTAGAGCACGACGCTTGTAACGCCAAGGTAGTGGGTTCGATCCCCGGGACCACCCATACAAAAAAATGTATGCACGCATGACTGTAAGTCGCTTTGGATAAAAGCGTCTGCTAAATGGCATATTTATTATTTTATTTATTTATTACGGTGGGAAATACACATGCGGAGATCATCCGTTCACCCACTCCGCGTCTCACAAAGACATGGCGGTTGGAACCAAAAATCTCCAATTTGGACTCCAGACTAAAGGACACATTTCCACCGGTCTAATGTCCATTGCTTGTGTTTCTTGGCCCAAGCAAGTCTCTTTTTATTATTGGTGTCCTTTAGTAGTGGTTTCTTTGCAGCAATTCGACCATAAAGGCCTGATTCACACAGTCTCCTCTGAACAGTTGACGTTCTACTTGAACTCTGTGAAGCATTTATTTGGGATGCAATTTCTGAGGCTGGTAACTCTAATGAACGTATCCTCTGCAGCAGAGGTAAATATGGAGACTGTTTAGTGACAAAAATAAGGGGTTAAATACATGTACAAAATAAAATAAAATCCTGATCTTTCTTATATCGCTCAGCTATAGGATAGACACTTCTGAACAAATTTCCTATAGATTTTTTTTTGGGGGGGATGTATGTTGTTCCATGTAGTGAATCTGTTATTCAATGCGTTTGTATGGGCTAATAGCAGTAAGGACACATTTTTTTCTCATCAAGTCATTTTTTTATACATTTTTTTGATACTTCAAGGGGTCATAAAATTCCAAAACAAATAGCAAATTGATCCTTGGTATGACCTAATAAAAACAATTCCATATAGCTTAGTTTATAACTTCGCCTGGCATTCAGAATTTTTTTTTGTGTGACCGAACAGCCGAAAAAAAACCTAACCAAAGTCCAAAACGAACAGAAACCGTCTCAAAATGTCGTCATAATATATGCACTAACTCTACCGAACTGTTTCCTGCCCCGGAGCAGGTTAGATCTGAAGGATTCGTTGCCATAGATTTACCTGGCTAAAAGGTGAGCCACATTCGTGCTAAGGGAGCGTGGGGTAAAATGAGCCAAAACGGTAAATTGAGCCACCCTTGTTTGTAGGAAACCATACAGAAAATGAATGGTATGACCCAAATTAAATTCGTACTATAGGGCTTAGCCAGGGTTGGGCTCAATTCAGAATTTTGGAATTTACTCTATTTAACTAATGAGTTGAAATTCGAATTGAATTGGCCACACCCCACAGGATGTACAGTATAATTTGAATTTGAGTTTGAGTGACAGGAAGTAGAATTTAATTCAGGTGCAATTAAAATAAATTCCACTCAGTCATAGAACATGAGAGTTTCATTGAATCTGACAGGTCACACTTCCAGATACCAAAGAATATATCACTTTTCTCTGGAAACAATGTTCATTTACTCTTTTAACCTTAGTGTTTAGAATAGCCAAGTATATTTCCACCAAACATTTCATTTGTTTTGCTTCTTTTGAAGGCTTTATGACCAACTTGAGGGTTAAACTAATGCATTCAGGGAAATGTAGTATTATCCCCATATTGAGCAAAATGTAAGTGATTAATTAAATAGAATAACTTAGAATATTCGCATACAGGTTTTCTTTTCCATCAATATTTTATACGCATGTATATAACGATACGTTTGATGTTTTATGTACTGTATTGTTGGCTATCTATCACAAATTCCCAATTGCGCTTTTTTATTGATCAAATTAATTAATCTGGCCGATGAGACAAGTATCCCTAAATGATGTCATATCCGCTTTGCAGGTCCCTGTACATCGCTGATGTTTCACCACCCCGGTTCCGCTGCCACAAACTTTTCCAGCTCGTACTCAGTCACCAGCGGCTGGTGCTGTCTGTCGCGCGTTCCGAGCAGCGGTGAACGTGATTACTCGTCTGATGGCATTGATCTACCCCTCGCTCTTTCTCGGGAGTCGTTAAACAGCCGGGCATTTGACCGTTTTTTAACAGGCAGAACCACCAGTCATCCTCCGACGTGCTTGAAACATACAGAGGAACAGGAGGCGACCCGTTTGTGGGCAGAATGCGGGCGCTATCCGTGGTGCCGAATCCGCTGCTGTTTCTACTGCTGTTCAGCTATTATCCTTCTGTGGTGAGTTGAGTTCCACTGACTGCCTGTTTCATCGCCAAGACACTGCGTGAGGAGTTAGGCTATTGGCTAGATTAAAACAACTGCATAATTATAGTTTTAGGCGGATAGACTGATACAATGTTGTGATTTGAAGTTCGTATTACAACGTGTTGAGAACACAAATACAAGCTTCAATCGCTTTCTCTGAGGGGCTGTGAATGGAGAAACTTGTTTAATTGTTTGAAACATCTGTAAGCCATTCAGTGGCTTTTACAGGGATAGAAAGAAACAGGAATGTAATGCTTCTCCCTCCTCTTAACTGTTGCATTGGTGGGTTTTCAATTCATTTTTCTTTATACATTCAAGGGGCAAATTTAGTAGAACACTCTTAATGGAAGTTCCCTAGTCTGCAGTGTTTAAATTGCACTAATTAATGACTGTTAAGACACGGGAGAAACAGACATCTGCGTTTTACTTGTCATGTCTGTCAGCAGATTGTTCACCACCACATCTCGCTCTCTTCTCTGCCCTCGTCTCTCATATCTGCTGAGGCGATATCTATAGAGATTCGATCGAGATCTCTCCGGCTCTCTATGACTGCTGCAGATCTATCTGTCGCTTCCGAGGCTCGTCTCGATCTAAAATTACACGTGATCCTCTCATACTACTCTCTTCGCTCTCTTCACTCTCTATCTCTCTCGCTCTCTCTCTCTCCGTACATCTCCTAATCCCCCTCTCTCTCCCCCCCTCTCTCTATCCTCTCTCTCTGTCTCCCTTTGCCAACAACACTGTATATGGTTGTATTCTGATATTGATTCTTGGAAGTTGCCAGAGAAGTAACTGTCTTTTTTAATGGTGGGTTCAATCATTATACAACACAATTACACTGACCAATTTCCTATTGGCTCTAATAGAAAGACCATCTAAAACAACTTTAATGGGGAAGGGGGCCACAAAGAATCTGAACTCATCACGAGGGACCACAGTAGCTCGCAGGTCTGCGTACCCGCATCCATTCACACACATGGAATCAGAGCCAGGCCTTTTGGGGGGCCTTAAGCAACATTTTGTTGGGAGGCACCTCCACAACCTGAGAGCAAAATATTTTAGCCGCCCCCACTCTTGACAGAGTAGAGAAACGTTTGAAGTTTTAGAGTTTATTTCATGCAATTCTGCACATTTTGCCATAGGGTGGAGAGAAATGTTTGTCAGGGTGTTATAGTGGCAGTCTATTCATCAGAACATAAAGCATTGTCAGGGTGTTATAGTGGGCTATCCGTATTGGATCTGGTGCAGCTGGATGTGAATGTGGAGGGAACACCTTTCTCCCAAAGTGTACACTTGTTCACTTCCCTTCACTAATTTCAAAGGAAATGACTGGTATATGGAAACTCCCTCTAGCTCTCCACCATTCCGATGCTTTTAAATGTATGGTAGGTAGTGAACGAGTGCACACTTGAGGAGAAAGGAGAGATTATTGGGAACACAGCCAAGATGTACGCACAAGGAGGAGGAAGTGACCATTTCACCCACAGAGACTTGACTAGCTGGCCTCCAATGTAAGCTTTTCAAATCACACTGAAAAGAACTATGAGCGTAAGGTTTTTCCTTGGTCAATTTGGCATTATGAAAAAAGATCCAGGTTTCATCAACTGCCAAATGCCAAGAGACTGACTCGCTGACTCATAACTTGATAGTCCTGAATAAATGAAGCGGCCTCACAATGAACACACTGCACATGCCCTGAAACTCTTTCAGTGTGAGAGCCAGCACTTTATTTTTCTATATTTTCACTGCTCGGCTGATCTCTATTCATTGTGAATGTCTCATACCAGATATGTGAACTTTGTGGCGAATAGAGATTGAAAATGTATTTGCCCATCAGATGGTCACACTCTGACCGGGGTAAATCCATTTAGAATTCAATCACTTTTTGACAGAATGCCTTTTGATTTAAAGAAAACTTTCCGTACATGTTTGCCCATGGAAGAAGTGGTCAGAAAATGACTTTTTGGACCTGAATGCCAAAACATTCAAGAGATAAAGGTGTTCAAAGTTGACCTATTTTTCATACCCCACCATACCATGAAACATCCACGTCTTCATCACTGGAAAAGATAAACGGTTGAGATTGATATCATTTAAATGCTTACAAACAGGGATGACAAACTATTTCATTATTTCTTGAAGAAACTGTTTTGGCCCAGTGCAGTCAACATTTTTTGCCCCAACACAGTCAGAAACATGTTTTTCCGGTGTTTTATATATACACTGCTCAAAAAAATAAAGGGAACACTTAAACAACACAATGTAACTCCAAGTCAATCACACTTCTGTGAAATCAAACTGTCCACTTAGGAAGCAACACTGATTGACAATACATTTCACATGCTGTTGTGCTTACAGCCCAACACCGTGCAGGATGTTTGGCATTTGCCAGAGAACACCAAGATTGGCAAATTCGCCACTGGCGCCCTATGCTCTTCACAGATGAAAGCAGGTTCACACTGAGCACATGTGACAGACGTGACAGTCTAGAGACGCCATGGAGAACGTTCTGCTGCCTGCAACATCCTCCAGCATGACCGGTTTGGCGGTGGGTCAGTCATGGTGTGGGGTGGCATTTCTTTGGGGGGCCGCACAGCCCTCCATGTGCTCGCCAGAGGTAGCCTGACTGCCATTAGGTACCGAGATGAGATCCTCAGACCCCTTGTGAGACCATATGCTGGTGCGGTTGGCCCTGGGTTCCTCCTAATGCAAGACAATGCTAGACCTCATGTGGCTGGAGTGTGTCAGCAGTTCCTGCAAGAGGAAGGCATTGATGCTATGGACTGGCCCGCCCGTTCCCCAGACCTGAATCCAATTGAGCACATCTGGGACATCATGTCTCGCTCCATCCACCAACGCCACGTTGCACCACAGATTGTCCAGGAGTTGGCGGATGCTTTAGTCCAGGTCTGGGAGGAGATCCCTCAGGAGACCATCCGCCACCTCATCAGGAGCATGCCCAGGCATTGTAGGGAGGTCATACAGGCACTTGGAGGCCACCCACACTACTGAGCCTCATTTTGACTTGTTTTAAGGACATTTCATCAAAGTTGGATCAGCCTGTAGTGTGGTTTTCCACTTTAATTTTGAGGGTGACTCCAAATCCAGACCTACATGGGTTGATAAATTTGATTTCCATTGATAATTTTTGTGTGATTTTGTTGTCAGCACATTCAACTATGTAAAGAAAAAAGTATTTAATAAGATTATTTCATTCATTCAGATCTAGGATGTGTTGTTTAAGTGTTCCCTTTATGTTTTTGAGCAGTGTATATCCACACAATGAGGTTGGAATAATACTGTGAAATTGTGAAAATAATGATAATGCCCTTTTAGTGTAAGAGCTGTTTGAAAAGACTGTCTGAAATTTCAGCCTGTTTTGGTGGGATGGAGTTTTGGCCTGCCTGGTGACATCACCAGGTGGTAAATTAGTTAATAGACCAATAAGAAAGAGAGTTCCAAACCTATCTGCCAATAACAGCTAGTTTTCAGTTTCCCCCTCCCCACTCAGACCACTCCCAGACAGTCCCAGCAAAATTATTGCTTGAGAAATTGCTCTCTGCTAAGAAGCTATTTTTGTTTCTTTTTGACCATTTTAATTGAAAACAATCACAGTAAGGTACTTAATAGTTACCCAGAAATGATTTGATATTGAGATAAAAAATAAAAAAACAGCTGCATTGGACCTTTTAATATAAATTATGACATTATTTTCATCTTTATCGTCAATTATCTAAAAAAAACACGGAAACTCACTTTTTATTTTTTATTTTTTTATATTCGCATATGTTGTAGCTTAGACCCTACTTCACATTATCTGAGGTTTTTGTGTTGTGCTCGCCATTGGTTGAGACGTAACATGCTCTTGAATACCGGATGGGTGTCATTTCAATCATATAAATAGTTTCATAGAATGGACCTATACCTTCAGACCACCGCAATTCAACTGGTTGGAATTTTTTATTGAATTGAAATCATAACTTCTTATTAATACCACAAAGATGGCCGCCGGTCCACCCACCATCGAATGTCAACTTAAATGGTCACGTCTATTGTATTATGTATAGAGTATTTCTATCATTTCAATAGGTTTCCTATGGAGGATTTTAACAGTATCGTTTTAAAACAACTGATATGCCCATTCAAGTCAACATTGTCTGATGTGTGTGTGACCTCCAACCATCATTGTGGTACCATTTGAAAGTACATTTATCAGCCAAAACTTGACACCCAACCTGTATTCAAAAGCATGTTGTGCTCAACCGATGGCGGCCACAACATGAAACCTCCGATTATGTAAAATAGGGTCGGCTACAACAAAAAATAATCGTAGTCTATGCATTTTTAGATAATTGATGTTTAAGGTTAAAAGATGACATCCTTTAAATTTTTTAACGTATTTTAAGAAATAATACAATTGTTAGAAAACCCTGTTTGTAAGCATTTAAATGATATCAATCTCAACCGTTTATCTTTTCCAGTGATGGTATGGTGGGGTATGCAAAAAGGGTTAACTTTGAGCACCTTTATCTCTTGAATGTTTTGGCATTCAGGTCCAAAAAGTCACTTTCTGAGCACTTCTACAATGGGCAAATATGTATGGAAGGTTTTGTTCAAATCAAAAGGGATTCTGTCAAAAATGGATTGTGTTGAAATAGATTTACCCACTGGTCCTTCAAAGCTTCTGTAGTGGAAATGGAGTGTGGAGAGACAAGGGGTGCAGATTTCACCTTTACATAATTTTAGACACAACCATAACCATAAAGATACTATGTGTTAGCCAATGGCCACATGATGGGACTCTTGCATTGGTTATTTATTGTTAGGAGGAATATCCATCAGAGACCATTTTACTGTGTAATGAACTCACTTGAGCATTGTGTGTGTGTGTTTGTGTGTGTGCATACGTTTGTTGTGTGTGTGCGTGTGTGTGTGTGTGTGCGTGTGTGCGTGTGTGTGTGTGTGCATACGTTTGGTGTGTGTGTGCGTGTGTTGTGTGTTGTGTGTGTGTGCGTGTGTGTGTGGGTGTGTGTGTGTGTGTGTGGGTGTGTGTGGTGTGGTGTGTGTGTGGTGTGTTGTGTGTGTGCATAAGTTTGGTGCGTGTGTGTGTGAGTGTGTTGTGTGTGTGCAATAAGTTTGTTGTGTGTGTGTGTGTGCGTGGTGTTGTGTGTGTGGGTGTGTGTGTGTGTGGTGTGTTGTGTGTGTGGTGTGTGTGTGTGTGTGTGTGTGTGTGTGTGGTGTTGTGTGTGTGGTGTGGTGTGTGTGTGTGTGTGTGTGTGTGGTGACATCAGGAATGTGTGTGTGGTGGAGTGTGTTTGGGTGTGTGTGGGGTGTTTGTGTGTGGTGGTTGAGACTTCAGGGAGGCTGTGGTGTTGAGGTCTGGGATGCAGTGCCTGTACTGTACGTGGTGGTTACATGATCAATGCAATGTCACTGCAATGGGTACGGACCATCCTGATAAAACTGGTACACACACTGATACACACAACTGTCAAGACCACATGATAACCATGATCACAACAATGATACACACACACTGTACAACATGTACACCACACACTGATACAGCACACACTGATACACACACTGTACACCCTGTACACTACACACAATGATACACACACACACTGTACCAACACACATGATACACCACACTGATACAACAACATGATCACACCACTGACACACACCTGACACACGAACTGTACACACACACACTGATCACAACACACTGATACACAACAGCACTGACACAAACACACTGAACACACAACAATGACACACACACATGATACACACACACACTGATACACACACCACACACTGATACACATACACACAACTGACACACACCACACACATGATACACACACACATGACACACACACGAACACTGATACACACACACTGACACACACACACATGATACACACACTACACACCACGATCACCAACACCACACACACACAACACACACACACTGATACACACACACACACGGACACACACACTGATACACACACACACACACTGATACACACACACACATGATACACACACACACTGTACAACACACACACACCACTGATACACACACACACACACTGATACCACACACACACACTGATACACACACACACACACACACTGATACACACACACACACACTGATACACACACACACCACTGATACACACACACACTGATACACACACACCACACTGATACACATACACACACTGACACACACACACACTGATACACACACACATGATACACACACACACACTGATACATACACACAACTGACACACACACACACTGATACACACACACACACACTGATAACACACACACACTGATACACACACACACTGATACACACACACACACACACAGATACACACTGATACACACACACACACGGACCACACACACATGATACAACACACACACACACTGATACACACACACACACACTGATACACACACACACTGACACACACACACTGATACACACACACACACACCCCACACACACACACAACACACATGATACACACAACACACACACACTGATCACAACATACACACACTGACACACACACACACACACTGATACACACACACTGACACACACACACACCACTGATACACACACACTGAACACACACACCACAACTGATACACACACACACACACACACCACACACACACCACTGATACACACACACACACGGACACACACACTGATACACACACACACACACTGATACACACACACACACACTGATACACACACACACACACTGATACACACACACACACACTGATACACACACACAAACACAGATACACACACACACACTGATACACACACACACACACACTGATACACACACACACACACACTGATACACACACACACACTGATACACACACACACTGATACACACACACACACTGATACACATACACACACAGACACACACACACACTGATACACACACACTGATACACACACACACACTGATACATACACACACTGACACACACACACACTGATACACACACACACACACTGATACACACACACACACTGATACACACACACACTGATACACACACACACACACAGATACACACTGATACACACACACACGGACACACACACACTGATACACACACACACACTGATACACACACACACACACACTGATACACACACACACACACACTGATACACACACACACACACTGATACACACACACACACACACACACTGATACACACACACACACTGATACACACACACTGATACACACACACACTGATACACACACAACACACGTATGCACACACACAGATTCACTCACACACATTATGAACCAACGTCACTAGCATTACTCTCATCTATGATAATAACAATAATGTATGAAGCATGGGCCTTTAAATGTATCCTGTCTGTGTAGCACGCCAGGGGGTGTTGCTCTATGTATTCCACTGTGGTCCAGTGTGGTAAAGTTAACACTAATGTACAAACAGGCCTTAGGGGAGTTTCAACCAGGCCATTTCAGGATCCCACCATTGGAATCAGAGGAGCACGGATAATGGAACACAGAGTATGAGTGTGATGTAGTGGTGATGTTGTTGGTTATTTTTTTTTGTAAAAGCCAAAACACAATGGAGGAATCATTGTAACTGTTGGCTGAACTTGGTCCAGACCCGTTCCACGCCAACTGATGAGCTATACATTTTAAAAATGTTTTACTTCAAATTACACCCACCACTGCCGTGCCATTAAAAAGAAATCAACAGTAAAAGGAAAAAATGTAACAAAAGAAAACCAAAACATTTTAATCTTGTGGGTGCAGAAAACCAATGATGCCTCTTCTTCTTCTCTTTCCTTAAGGTGCAGAAAACCAATGATGCCTCTTCTTCTTCTCTTTCCTTAAGGTGCAGAACAACTAATGATGCCTCTTCTTCTTCTCTTTCCCTAAGGTGCAGAACAACTAATGATGCCTCTTCTTCTTCTCTTTCCCTAAGGTGCAGAACAACTAATGATGCCTCTTCTTCTTCTCTTTCCTTAAGGTGCAGAACAACTAATGATGCCTCTTCTTCTTCTCTTTCCTTAAGGTGCAGAACAACTAATGATGCCTCATCTTCTTCTCTTTCCTTAAGGTGCAGAACAACTAATGATGCCTCTTCTTCTTCTCTTTCCTTAAGGTGCAGAACAACTAATGATGCCTCATCTTCTCTTTCCTTAAGGTGCAGAACATGTCCCAGTCCATCGAGGTGCTGAACCTGCGGACCCAGAGAGACTTCCAGTACATCATGAGGATGGAAGGCCAGTTCAAAGGGATAAGGTCAAAGTTCAGACAGATAGAGACCGACAGGAAAACACAGGTCAACAGAAACTTCCAGGTAAGTCGGTTTGATAGGAAAATTAGAGGAACATTTGCAGGGATCATACAATACCCTTTGACATAAGCGACCAAGCTGTCAAACTAACATCTTTTGTGACATCATGGTCAGGTTGTCAACTGATTTATTTTCTAATCTTGTTACATGAAATATCTTCAATCAGAAAACAACAGGAAGATAATGATTGATGTTCAAGGATGATAAGAATTGATGTTCCAGGATGATAATGATTGATGTTCCAGGTTGATAATGATTGATGTTCAGGGGTGATAATGATTGATGTTCCAGGATGATAATGATTGATGTTCCATGCAACATTTTGTCCACTGGGCTTGTGTTTTTCCTTCCCCAGGAGTTGAACTGAAATGATATTGAACCATATGTTTCCCCAGGAGTTGAACTGAAATGAATTGAACCATGTGTTTCCACAGGATTTTAACAGAATTTAATTGAACTCTGTGTTTCCTTCTCTATAGGAGTTGAAGGGTAAGATGGAGGCCCTACAGCCTCTGATCCCTGTGTTGAAGCAGTACAAGACAGATGCCCAGCTCATCTCCCAGTTTAAACAGGAGATCAGGAACCTCTCCATGGTGCTCACAGCCATCCAGGAGGAGATAGGAACCTACGACTACGAGGAACTACAACGGAGGGTCCTGAATCTGGAGAACAGGCTACGCAACTGCATGAGCAAACTCAGTGAGTCACATGCACACACGGACACACACACACCAGTGGCGGTTAGTGACGTTCAAGATTAGGGAGGACAATTATTTATATTGCAGCATATTGGATGACTGTCATTCATATTCTATTCACCCAGCTCAATGTAACATCGATAGGTTTAGGCTACTACATGATACAGGATTTGCCCTACACCCGTCACGAGGTTGCTACAACCTAGCCTATGAATCAAAGTTTACAACGTAGGTGCACACAGGTCGAGAGACAATTTGGAGTAATCAAGGTGACAGACAGTGACACTATTCATCACTGCCTTGCACACTCTGGCCTGAATCTAGTTAATCTGGGGTGTTATCATTAGTCCAAAACAGTTGAATGTTTTGCACTTAGCTAGCTGGCTAAGGCAACTCTTCCAAGTCAAGGTCAGCTTTCGGTTTTTATTAATGTATTGTCCACAGGGCCTGCAGGTGTAACTGCTAAACTGCTTTGCTGTAACGTTACAATGTACTGCGTGATTGTACACATGGATTGGATTGTGGGTTTACTGACGCGTTAGTTCTAGTTTGTTGACTATAATGTTACTATGGTGACAATGATGTAGGCTGTGTAGCGGTTAGCGGTTATGGTATGAAGGTTTAGCTCGGAGAGGTTTTTTGCGCCTGGTCACAGACAGCTGCTGTGTTGTGCACAAGCGACGGGAAAAGGTGAGAGGAGCGCGTAGATCGTTGTGAAAAGGAATTATACAATGAGCAAAGTGATGATGGTGTTTGTATGTGGCTGATATTAAAGTGAACTGTGTGTGCAGGGGATCAGGGGTGTATTCATTCCGCCGATTCTGTTCCAAAACGTTTCTTAAACGGAAGTAAACGCAACGAAACGGGGAGGGACCTACGTGAATTTGTCCAATTGAAACACGCGTTTTAGGATAAATAGCAATCCTCTCTGTTTTAGTCATGTTGTTGTAGGCTTACACTGAACAAAAATATAAACGCAACATGCAACAATTTCAACGATTTTACTGAGTTACAGTTCATATAAGGAAATCAGTCAATTCAAATAAATTAATCTATGGATTTCACATAACTGGGCAGGGGCGCAGCCAATCAGAATTATTTTTTCCCCACTAAAGGGCTTTATTACAGACAGAAATACTGTCCGGGTGGCTGGTCTCAGACGATCCCGCAGGTGAAGAAGCTGGATGTGGAGGTCCTGGGCTGGCGTGGTTACACGTGTGGTCTGCGGTTGTGAGGCCGGTTGGACGTACTGACAAATTCTCTAAAACATCGTTGGAGGCGGATTATGGTAGAGAAATTAACATTACATTATCTGGCAACAGCTCTGGTGGACATTCCTGCAGTCAGCATGCCATTTGCATGCTGCCTCAAAACTTGAGACATCTGTGGCATTGTGTTGTGTGACAAAACTGCACATTTTAGAGTGTCCTTTTATTGTCCCCAGCACAAGGTGCACCTGTGTAATGATCATGCTGTTTAATCAGCTTCTTGATATGCCACAGCTGTCAGGTGGATGGATTATCTTGACAAAGGAGAAATGCTCACTAACAAGGATGTAAACAAATTTGTGCACACATTGTGAGAGAAATACTGTAAGCTTTTTGTGTGTATGGAAAATGTCTGTGATCTTTTATTTTAGCTCATAAAACATTGGACCAACAATTTACATGTTGCGTTTATATTTATGTTCAGTATAATTAGCTGCATTAGCTAAGTAAGTGAAAGGTAAACTAAGAATAAATTAATTTGTTCAAAACTGTTTAACTATTGTCTTTCTCTCTCTTTGAATCAACTACTCACCACATTTTATGCACTGCAGTGCTAGCTAGCTGTAGCTTATGCTTTCAGTAATAGATTCATTCTCTCATCCTTTGATTGGTGGACAACATGTCAGTTCATGCTACAAGAGCTCTGATAGGTTGGAGGACGTCCTCCGGAAGTTGTTATAATTATTGTGTAAGTCTATGGAAGGGGGTGAGAACCATGAGCCTCCTAGGTTTTGTATTGAAGTCAATGTACCCAGAGGAGGACGGAAACTAGCTGTCCTCCGGCTACACCATGGTGCTACCCTACAGAGTGCTGTTGAGGCTACTGTAGACCTTCATTGACCTTCAATCAGTTATTTGGTGACGTGAATATTTTTAGTATAGTTTTATCTAAAAATGATAACTTTTTTAATTTTTCAGTATTTTTATTTTCGTGAAATTCACTGAATAGGATGGTCCTCCCATTGCTCTTCTGAGGAGCCTCCACTGACACACACACTCGAGCCTACGACTATGAGCATCTACAGCACAGTCTCAGTGCTCAGTCTGGAGGACAGGCTACATGGACATGCACCTTTGTACTCATAACCATAGAAATATACAGTACATATCATTGGATTAAGTTAAAAAATGTACTACTACTACTACTACTGCTACTACTACTACTACTACTACTGCTACTACTACTACTGCTACTACTACTGCTATTACTACTACTACTGCTGTTACCTGTTACTGGAAATGTAGGAAAGGAAACTGACGATGATACGTTTTTCATATACTGTCATGGTCAAAAGTTTTGAGAATGACACAAATACTCATTTTCACAAAGTCTGCTGCCTCAGTTTTGATGATGGCAATTTGCATATACTCCAGAATGTCATGAAGAGTGATCAGATGAATTGCAATTAATTGCAAAGTCCCTCTTTGCCATGAAAATGAACTTAATCCCCCAAAACATGTTCACTGCATTTCAGCCCTGCCACAAAAGGACCAGCTGCCATCATGTCAGTGATTCTCTCGTTAACACAGGTGAGAGTGTTGACGAGGACAAGGCTGGAGATCACTCTGTCATGCTGATTGAGTTAGAATAACAGACTGGAAGCTTTAAAAGGAGGGTGGTGCTTGAAATCATTGTTCTTCCTCTCTTAACCATGGTTACCTGCAAGGAAACACGTGCCATCGTCATTGCTTTGCACAAAAATGGCTTCACAGGCAAGGATATTGCTGCTAGTAAGATTGCACCTAAATCAACCATTTATCGGATCATCAAGAACTTTGAGGAGAGAGGTTCAATTGTTGTGAAGAAGGCATCAGGGCGCCCAAGAAAGTCCAGCAAGCGCCAGGACCGTCTCCTACAGTTGATTCAGCTGCGGGATCGGGGCACCACCAGTGCAGAGCTTGCTCAGGAATGGCAGCAGGCAGGTGTGAGTGCATCTGCACGCACAGTGAGGCAAAGACTTTTGGAGGATGGCCTGGTGTCAAGAAGGGCAGCAAAGAAGCCACTTCTCTCCAGGAAAAACATCAGGGACAGACTGATATTCTGCAAAAGGTACAGGGATTGGACTGCTGAGGACTGGGGTAAAGTCATTTTCTCTGATGGATCCCCTTTCCGATTGTTTGGGGCATCCAGAAAACACCTTGTCCGGAGAAGACAAGGTGAGCGCTACCATCAGTCCTTTGTCATGCCAACAGTAAAGCATCCTGAGACCATTCATGTGTGGGGTTGCTTCTCAGCCAAGGGAGTGGGCTCACTCACAATTTTGCCTAAGAACACAGCCATGAATAAAGAATGGTACCAACACATCCTCCGAGAGCAACTTCTCCCAACCATCCAAGAACAGTTTGGTGACAACCAATGCCTTTTCCAGCATGATGGAGCACCTTGCCATAAGGCAAAAGTGATAACTAAGTGGCTCGGGGAACAAAAAACGACATTTTGGGTCCAGGGCCTGGAAACTCCCCAGACCTTAATCCCATTGAGAACTTGTGGTCGATCCTGAAGAGGCGGGTGGACAACCAAAAAACCCACAAATTCTGACAAACTCCAAGCATTGATTATGCAAGAATGGGCTGCCATCAGTCAGGATGTGGCCCAGAAGTTAATTGACAACATGCCAGGGCGGATTGCAGAGGTCTTGAAAAAGAAGGGTCAACACTGCAAATATTGACTCTTTGCGTAAACTTAATGTAATTGTCAATAAAAGCCTTTGACAGTTATGGAATGCTTGTAATTATACTTCAGTGTTACCATAGTAACATCTGACAAAAATATCTCATAACACTGAAGCAGCGAACTTTGTGAAGACCAACATTTGTGTCATTCTCAAAAACGTTTGACCACGACTGTCCATGTGACTAATAAAACACTAAATCTGAATCAATTGTCTTCCAATATCCCCTCCCGCGAAAGCCTCCCCCGTCCCAGATGTCCCTGATATTATCATACCACCCCATACCCGTAACGCTCTTAACGTTTTTCATGTACTTTTTAGTGTATCAGATAGACTCATAAGTGAGATGGAACTGTGTGTTCTAGTCTACATCCCAAATGGCACCCTATTCCCTATAAAGTGCACTAGTTTTGACCAGATCCCTGGGATGGCCATTTGGGACGCAGCCGATTTAACTAGATTACAGATGAACTAGATACAGGTAACAGGTGGAGCGTTCCAGTGGTCAGAGGCATGAAATTAGCTGTTAAGAACTAACACAGTCAGGGGAAATCTAATCGGAGTACTGTGTGTGTGTGTGTGTGTGTTTGTGTCTGTCTGGTCTGGTCTGGTCTGTCAACAGCTTGTGGTAAACTGATGAAGATCACTGGACCTGTGATGGTGAAGACCTCTGGTACACGGTTTGGAGCTTGGATGACTGATCCACAGGCCTCCCCTAGAAACAACCGGGTGAGTGGAGGGGGGGAGGGAGGGGGGGGAGGGAGGGAGTGAGGGGGGGAGAGAGAGAGGGAGGGAGGGAGGGAGAGAGGGAGGGAGGGAGGGAGGGAGGAGAGAGAGGGAGAGAGGGAGGGAGGGAGGGAGAGAGGGAGGGAGGGAGGGAGGGAGAGAGAGGGAGAGAGGGAGGGAGGGAGGGAGGGAGAGAGGGAGGGAGGGAGGGAGGGAGGGAGGGAGGGACGGACGGACGGACGGACGGACAGATAATGTAGTTTATGGGTGTAAAATCAATTAATTGACAGTCACAGACGATGTAGTTTATGGGTGTAATATGCGTTGTATATATACTACCAGTCAAAAGTTTGGACACACCTACTCATTCAAGGGTTTTTCTTTTCTTTTTTACTATTTTCTACATTGTAGAATAATAGTGAAGACATCAAAACGATGAAATAACACATATGGAATGACGTAGTAACCAAGAAAAGTGTTAAACAATTTTTGTTATATTTGAGATTCTTCAAATAGCCACCCTTTGCCTTGATGACAGCTTTGCACACTCTTGGTATTCTCTCAACCAGCTTCACCTGGAATGCTTTTCCAACGGTCTTGAAGGAGTTTCCACATATGCTGAGCACTTGTTGGCTGCTTTTCCTTCACTCTGTGGTCCAACTCATCCCAAAGCATCTCAATTGGGTTGAGGTCGGGTGATTGTGGAGGGCAGGTCATCTGATGCAGCACTCCATCACTCTCCTTCTTGGTAAAATATCCCTTACACAGCCTGGAGGTGTGTTGGGTCATTGTCCTGTTGAAAAACAAATGATAGTCCCACTAAGCGCAAACCAGATGGACTGTCGTTTCTCTTTGCTTATTTTAGCTGTTCTTGCCATAATATGGACTTGGTCTTTTACAAATAGGGCATTCCAGGTGACTACCTCATGAAGCTGGTTGAGAGAATGCCAAGCGTGTGCAAAGCTGTCATCAAGGCAAAGGGTGGCTACTTTGAAGAATCTCAAATATAAAATATATTTTTGATTTTGTTTAAAACTTTTTTTTGGGTTACTACATGATTCCATATGTGTTATGTCATAGTTCTGATGTCTTCACTATTATTCTACAATGTAGAAAATAGTAAAAAGAAAAATCCTTGAAATGAGTAGGTGTCCAAACTTGTGACTGGTACTGAATAGGAATAAATAAACCATCAGACTAACTACTAATACTGCTGCTTTCAAAGAGCTTGTCCAACCTTCTGGGGCGGCAGGTGGCTTAGTGGTTAAGAGCGTTGGGCCAGTAACCGAAAGGTCGCTGGTTCTAATCCCCGAGCCGACTAGGTGAAAAATCTGTTGATGTGCCCTTGAGCAGCAAGGCACTTAACCCTAATTGCTCCTGTAAGTCGCTCTGGATAAGAGCGTCCGCTAAATGACGTAAATTGACTTGTATGTGGGTCGTTCCACAAAAAGAGGGCCTTTTTTAAGGTTAAACTATTCCTTTTAAAATAATTTATTTTTCAAAAGAAACGTCTAATAGTCACTCTTTGTGGCCATTTTCTGGTGTTTTGTGGTGGAAAACTGAGTGGATCATCAACACGTCAACCCTGTTACCCATAGATGGACAAAATATATACATTTTTACATGAAGCTTGCATTCACTCCGTGTTAAATACAACACGCTTCCATTCCCCCTGTCACAAGGGAATTTATGGCTGATCTAAGATGAACACTTAATTTATTTGGTACTTAATATGCACTTATTGCTATAATACGTTTAGTTATTTAACCTCTTGAGATGGGAAAACATGCTTTTTTATGAAGTTTAACATGTTTTTGTGACAGAATGTTAAAATTAGGTAAAAAATTATAATAATCTGGACCAAGTTACACTTCAAAAGCTACCGAATGGCTGGAACGACCCATGTGCTACGTTCTGACTAATGTGCCTACAAAGTAGACCTTTAAATTGTTAATGTCCTCCTGTACTTTTGTTCTTACCCAGGTCTGGTACATGGATGGCTACACCAACAACAAGATAGTCAAAGAGTACAAGTCCATAGCAGACTTTGTTTCCGGGGCCGGGTCTCGAACCTACAACCTGCCGTTCAAGTGGGCCGGGACCAACCACGTGGTGTACAACGGCTCTCTGTACTACAACAAGGTCCAGAGCAACATCATGGTGCGCTACCACTTCGAGACGGGCCGCGTGGTGACCCAGAGAGCCCTGGAGAACGCCGGCTTCCACAACGTCTACCCTTACACCTGGGGAGGCTTCTCCGACATAGACCTCATGGCCGACGAGCTGGGCCTGTGGGCCGTCTACGCCACCAATCAGAACGCCGGAAACATCGTCATCAGCCAGCTCAACCCGGAGACGCTACAAATCCTCGGAACCTGGAACACGGAATATTCCAAACGGAACGCGGGGGAGTCCTTTATGATTTGCGGAACACTCTACATCACCAACTCTCACCTGACTGGTGCTAAGGTCTACTATTCATACTCCACCAAGACCTCCAGCTATGAGTACACAGACATCCCCTTCCACAACCAGTACTTCCACATGTCCATGCTGGACTATAATGCCAGGGACCGGGCACTGTACGGCTGGAACAATGGACACCAGGTTCTGTTCAACGTCACGTTGTTCCATATCATCAAGACAGAGGACGATTCCTGAGGAGGAGAACCTCAGAGGAACTCAAAGGAACCCACCGGAACGATTTAGTTACCGGAGTGTAACTCCAGTTCTATGAGTGGAGCTCCGCCCCATAGGGGAGCTCTGCTCCTATTGGTTTACCCACTGCCCTAAGGCAGCATCAGCCTGAGACAAAATGATGCACACACCTGCAGCCAATAGGAGTACAGGTGTCCCTATAAAAGGGGACGCCTCCCCTCAATCAGCCTCCCGAGATATTTATCTTCAGCGAGACTAGAGAGGGTCGGCAGGGCCTTAAGTCCTATGGGGCTCCGCTCCACTCATACAACTGGAGTTACAACTCCGGTAACTAAATCGTTCTATATCGTGGAGCTCTGCTCCTATTAGTTTAAGGCGGAGCGTAGCGCTCCAAAATGTACTCCCTGCCGAGCCCAGCACTTCCCATCGAAACGAAAAGGTCAGGCCTAGCAATGGCTGCAACCAATTCCCGCAGTGCTGCAACCACTGTATAAAATACAAGTGTCACAATGTACTGCGTCATCGGTTAAAAACCCGCCCCACCTAGTCCAATGGCAACACCAGTGACTAGTGTCCTCTGTACTAGCAGATAGATGGTACCTCAATATCCTGTCACAATAATACCGACCACTAATGGAATGACACAAAGTGTCACTCTACATTGTGTACACGGTAGACCGCCTCACTCAATCAATGGAACCCCAGAGATTAGTGGGCAGATCCCAGAACATGATTCATACTAATCTGAACAAGCAGATAGATGACGTCACATTCCGTCAAATTATCATGACCGGTCTAATGGTACCGTAACCAAGGTTACTACTATTGTCCCTCATCATTCCGCCTCAACCCAGTTATCCACTGGTGGGCAGATCAATACACGCTCTCTACTGTACTGAACCTGTCAGTCAGGAGTCATGTCATAATACGTCCTTCCATCAGAAGCGGACCTGAAAGAGACCTGTCCCCTCAGTCCTGCATTCCTCTCTCCTAGCTCAAGTCCTCCCCTCAGCCACGCTGAGTACCGACTGAGCCAAAGAGTTAGAAGACATATATCCAAGAGATAGAAACGAATAAATGGAGAGGGTGTTGACCATGACGCCGCTCTACATATATCCTCTACCCCTTGTTCCTCTGAAAAGGGCAGTAGAAGCTGCTATTCCACGAGTGGAGTGAGCTCTGATACCCTGAGGCAACTGTCGCCCTGCTGCCTCATAAGCTGTCTCAATGCCTTCACAAAGCCAATGAGACAACCGCTGTTTTGAAAGTGGTCTACCTAGTGCAGCCGCACCGTGACACACAAACAGCTGAGGCGATGACCTAATCGCTGCTGTGCGCTCAACGTAACACGCCAAAGCGCGCACTGGGCAGAGAAAAAGCCCACAGCTCCACGGTCTGTGATCTATATGAGCTCTTAATAACCTTCTGCACGAAAGCCGGGTTAGGACGTAACACCGCTCTGCTCAGATCGCCATTAATGGCCAGGCAGTCGGGTCTTGTCGAAAAGAGCACACAAATCACTGACACGCTTAGCAGTGGTCAAAGCGAGCAACAGTGCCGTCTTCATAGACAGCATCTTGAGGGGTATTTGATTCAATGGCTCGAACGGCGACTCACAGAGCGCCTCGAGTACCAAAGCCAAATCCCACTGAGGAAGCGTGGCTCTAGTCATTGGACTAAGCCGCCGCGTTCCCAATTAGAAACGTTTCACTAGAGGGTGGCTAAAAACATTGATTCTTCCAAACCCCTCGTGACCAGCTGAAATTGCCGCTGCAAACACCTTAACGCAGGAGCCCCAGCGGAACCACTGAGTGGGCTGACGACATGAGACCCAAAATTGACATGATCGACAGCGCCGTCACAGTGTGATTCGGACGACACTTCCTCAGGGCTAGCAACAGGGCTGCCCTTCGAGGGTCCGAAATTCGAGCCCTCATCATTACAGTGTCTAGCTGTATTCCCAGGTAGACAATCTGATGACTGGGCCAGGGCGCGCTCTTTTTCCAATTCACAGCGAACCCTAGACGTGTGAGATGAATCACTGTCTGTGTCGTGTGAGTGAACGCCAGCTCTGCTTACGGGGCGAGAACCAGTAGGTCATCTAGGTAGGCTAGTAGCCTTATTCCCTGACGCCGCAACGGTTCCAATGCCGCCTCCACACACTTGGAAAACGTGCGAGGTGCCAGGGCGTACCCGAATGGCATCCTCGTACAGAGCGCCCACCCCGGGTAGCGGTCGCGTCATCATGCCATTGTCTGGCTGAGACTGCTGCCTGCCATGAGAGACACCCATTACAGTGCGGTCTCTAACCGGTGCCACAAGGTGGCGCCCTGATACCTTTTTAACACTAGTCACATGTGTCTGGTCAGCTGCGCACTCCTGGTGGGCCGAGCTACACTCAGAGTAGTGAGTATCAGTGCGTTCTGTGGGATACGGGGGCGCCGATACGTTGGTTACGCCTGTAACTCTAGTATTCCGGCCCTCTTTGAACGCAGTACGAGTCTGTACTGCACTGACTAAGGCATTAGCCTGAGACAGAGCGACATCCCCATATGTGGGTCGCGTCATCATGCCATTCCCTGGCTGAGACTGCGACCTGCTGTGTGAGACACTCCCCACAGAGCTCCTAGGAGTCTGTGACATGAGGTCTCTCCTGGGTAACACAAGGCTGTGCCCTGATACCCTCCTCACATTCGCCTCCTGTGTCTGCTCAGCTACGCACCTCTGGTGGGCCGAGCTACATTCAGAGTGGTGAGAATCAATACGTTCTGTGAGAAAAGGGGGCGCCGATACGTTGGTTACACCCGTAACTCTAGTATTCCGGCCCTCCGTGAACGCAGCACGGGTCTGAACTGCGCTGACTGAGGCGTTAGCCTGAGACAGAGCGCCCTCCCCAGATATAGGTTGCGTCATCATGCCATTCTCTGGCTGAGACTGCAACCTGTTGTGTGAGACCCTCTCTACAGTACCCCTAAGAGTCTGTGACGTGAGGTCTCTATTGGGTAATGCAAGGCGGTGCCTTGATACCCTCTTTTCACACGCCTCCTGTGTTTCCACGCCACTCGTGAGCTCAGATCTTCCCGTTGTTAAACGAGATAGTGAGGCCGCGAGGAGGGCAATGTTGTTTGCTGCTGACACAGCTTGGGCTCCCAACGTGAAGGACTTCTCTGCCAGCTGCGCTGTGAGCCTGTCCTTCTGTGTTGGTAGAGCGGCTTTCTTGGAGGATGCCCAGGGACTCGAACCTGGCACTAGATACGCTGCCATGGCGCTCTCGAGCCTAGGGATTCCCTTGGCAGCTTTCTCCCTTCCTTCCACTCTGGTAAATGGGCAGTACATCTTAGCTGGCGAACGCGCCGCTAGAGGTGCCTCCCATGAGCCCTCGACATATTTGCTGAGTGAAGGCATGGCTGGAGCCAATGGCTCAGCCGCCTTCCTCGGCCGAGAATAGGGTCCGCCCTCCATCATATCCACCTCCGCAGCGGGGGGAATGGGGGGGGCAGCGCTATCTCCAGTCGGTTAGCAGCCCGCTCAATGAGCCCAGGAAAATCCGAGCGTAGAGAGGCCGCTGCGAAGGACAGGGCTACTGAGGTATCAGAGCCCGTGTCATCATCGCCCAAGGAGCCGTAAGACCTCTCACTTCCCAATGGAAAGGGGGTCTTAAAGGTTTGGGTCAGAGGGACGGATTGTTCCAATGGAATATCCATCTCCTCCCCTCTCTCCTTGTCATCCTCAGAGTCGGCGCCCTCAGATGATGCCTCAGAAGTAGAAACTAGTATCGAGAGCACATCCTCTAAGGGAATATCCTCCTTAAAAAACGCCCAGCGCTGCTTCCTCTCCTTCAAAGGAAGGAGGGCGCAGGAGGCAAAATTCGGGGGGAACGCCGGTTCCGTCCTTGGCATGCTGTGCACCCAAACACACGAAACATAAGTCGTTGCCATGGAAGAACAGCGGCATTGAGCTCTGAAAATAGCTTTTGGGGGTGGAAAATCTCCAGGTGCGCTCATTTTCGGACGACGTCGAAGATCTGGAATTCGACGGCGTTTTCTTCGTCCTGAGTCTTCGTCTCTTGCTTCTAATAGTCCAGTCACTGAAGATAAAGGGAGGCTGATTGAGGGGAGGCATCCCCTCTTATAGGGACATCCGTACTCCTATTGGCTGCAGGTGTGTGCATCATTTTGTCTCAGGCTGATGCTGCCTTAGGGCAGTGGGTAAACCAATAGGAGCAGAGCTCCCCTATGGGGCGGAGCTCCACGATATAGAACACTGACTATCATTCCTCGTGTTCCGGTGTTCCGTCAATTTGTGGGAGTTCTATTGTTGGGTCTCTAAATTGTATTTGTGCTTTCTTCTTTTGACAATCCATCTTCGGCTCTATTGCGTCCCTTTCAAATTCCTAATGCAAGGGTTACTAAGAATTTTGGCCTCCAAACTCTGAACTGTCTCCCAATGTCATGACAGAGTCATGATATTCTCTGGTAGTCCTACATAGCAACCCCATTTCAAAGCATCTGACCCTCTAACGGTGAAATCAGGCCCTGACGGTCTTCCTCTTGGGTTCTCTTATTAATTCTGCTCTCTTTTGACACAACCCTTCATTTTGACTCTATCCCTTACCGTTCAGGTACTCTACACTGGACCCTATTAGAGATTGGCTGAGCTTGGGTAACATGCCTCTGATTGGGTGGGCTTGGGTAACATGCCTCTGATTGGGTGGGCTTGGTTAACATGCCTCTGATTGGGTGGGCTTGGTTAACATGCCTCTGATTGGGTGGGCTTGGTTAACATGCCTCTGAATGGGTAAACTTGGGTAAAATGCTTCTGATTGGGTGGGCTTGGGAAACATGACTTTGATTGGGTGGGCTTGGGTAACATGCTTCTGATTGGGTGGGCTTGGGTAATATGCCTCTGATTGGGTGGGCTTGGGTAATATGCCTCTGATTGGCTGGGAATTGGTAACATGC